GTAGCTAAGTATTTCCTTAGTATTTATAAAAGGGTCTATAGTACTAACTTCGAAGTAAGGGAGTAGGTAACTCTAGGTGTCACTCTTAGTATAGTTATATACTATAGCTTATTAGGCTTTCTTACTTAGGTAGTAGTTAGGATTAATATCTAGCTTACTTATTATAAAAGCGGACTAAGTATACTATTCTAAGCTATTAAGGGTACTAGAGAACTTTTTAATATATAGTTTAAGTAAGAGTCTCTTATAATATCTTTAGTAAGTAGGGGCAGGCTCTATTAGTACCTAAGGGGCGTTATCTTAGTTATCTCCGGACGATCTACTATTATTAAAGTTATTACTATCCCTTAGGTTAAGAGCTTACTATTAGAAGCTTAATAACTTAGACTTCTTAGACTTAGAAGTTAAGTTCTTAAATATCTCTAGTATCTTACAGAGGCTTTTATTTTACTTCTCCTAGTACTTAGCTAGTCTCTGAAGTTCCTTAGAGCTTTTTATAATTCTAACTATTAGTACGGAAGTAGTATATTTCTCTTAAGAGTAGTCTTATTAGTCCTAGGGATTATTTTCCTTAGGAGATATAGTATTACTATAGGAGGTTAAGAGGATAATATTATTCTTCTCTCTACTATTACGTTTATAAGGAGTAATATATAAGAGAGAAGAGGTTAAAGGCGGATTTCTTTCCCTTAGTATTAATAAAGTAGTAGGTTTAATAGCAAGAGAAACGCTATATTATATTCTATCGCTTTTCTAGAAAGAATTAAGATTACTTATAAGGAAGTATAAGTATAAAAGTAAAAGGTAAGAGGTAGTACTTAAGTTATAAATATAACTCAGTTACGCTTAGAAGGTACTTAAGGAAATAATAAAGTACAAGAGGTGAAGTAGAAAAGAGAGGGCTAAAGATATAACTTGACTACGCCTGAAAAGTACTCGAGGAATTCAATGAAAGTAGATATTAAGACCTTTATAAGTAAAGTTAGTCTTTTCTAATATAATAGTATAATAAAGGTTTATTAGTAATTATAATATAAAATAGAAAAGATAGTAAGAGGAAGAGGTTCCTAAGGAGCCTTAAGAATAAGTAGGGAGGATATAGCCGCTAGCGAACTAGGCTAGTCCTAGGTTCACTATATAACTCTAGCCTCGCAGCTTTACGACGTTAGCCTTACTTATATAACTCGCCTATCGTGATCAGTCTATCATAACTCCTATAGTAGTGTAGAGCTATTTCCTCTTACGTATAACTAAGTAAGTAACTATTAGTAAACTCCTTCTAAGTTAATCGAGCTCTACTGAGTCTTACTAAGCTCTAGACTTTTCCTAATCAGGTATAGTAAAGAAGTGGTTACTACTATCTTTACAGGTATACTAAAGTCATATGAGTTATTAAGGCTTTCGTCCGTTATTAATTAATGAAAAGGGGGGGTGTTAATAACACGTTATAATATTAGTGTTAACTTATCCCTAGCCACAACTGATCGGCCAAGACGCGAGCTAGAATTAAGCGTATTTAGACTTGGGCAAATTGGTACTTAAAAACCACCTCGAGCCGTCGGCAGCTTTTATTCAGCAGTATCACGTCCAATGGGCTCTCTGATAGACATGCTGAGACAATGCTCTGATTAGCTGTCAGGGTCTGGAAGAAATCGAGGAAATGGGGAAAGTTTGCAAGAATTAATAGAAAACAAAAGTACCAATCTACCTATCTAAAATAACGAGCTCCGAGGTCGGCGCTCTGGTTGAACGATCCTCACAGAAGGGAAGATAAATTACATTCCCATTTGCTTTGACCTCATCCGAAATGCAAATCTCTCGATTTGTGCGTTTGGATGCAATATACGAAGGTAAGGTAAGGCTTGGCCAATAAATAAGAGCGGTGTTGCGGGCAGGGCATCCGCTACGCTAAATCTTCATATTCCCTCTTAGGAAATAAATCCTGGCAATGAGGCTAATGCGCTTCCCACAACTGCAAGGTAACTTCCAGCATACGGTACCGCAGCATAATTGAATCACACTTACCTATTCAAGCACAGCACAGCACAGCACAGCACAGCACAGCACAGCACAGCACTACTGTACTTTACCTACATTACCAAAGGTTCGCCCTCTATTAGTGGGACGGGTTGGTAGGGGATTGAGAAAGATCGTACGATATGACGATCCAGGGTCACGCAACCTAATGCTTGGAATCTGATAACACCGCATTCGTCCACGAGGAGGTGCGTCGTTCTAGAACGACAAATGCAGGGTAAGCAAGCCATGCCAAGTGAGCATATCCTGAAACAGAACAGACCTGGGGTTCAAATGCTGACAAGTGACGGCGCTTGAAAGTTTAGTTTATATAACTCCTCAACCCAAAAACACAACTCAGGTCATATGTTCTTGGGAACAGAGAGGGCAGAGGAGCATTACCCGATGCGAGGACGGTCATCGGGCCTGTCCAGACAGAGGGGCCTATATCAACTCAGATTTGCACACCTAGTCAATTAGATTGTGGTGAACGAGGAATTCAAAGTAGAAAGATCTATTTGAGAGCTTCTGCTCCCATCACCATGCATTCTAGTAGGCCACAGACATCATTGCGACTGCATACTGCATGTCTTAATGTTGCACATGGCTCACGCATTCAATTCGGAGATAACACTGCACCATGCGACGACCCTGCAGAGTGGCAGTTGAAGAAGCCCGGCTCTGCCATGCGGCACTCGGCACGCTGGAATTCACTAGTGAGTCTGCACAGATACACATGCTTGTCTTCCATGTTGCTCATCCTATCGAGTACGTTAGGAGATGGCCGATTTTGGCGAGTTGCACTACTTCCAAGATATTACAATTTAGACAACGATCTATGAATGGAATTCCGAGTAGAGAGATCAGGATATTTAAGCAGCTATTTCTCAGGAGCTTTGGAAAAGGAAATGTTGTTGTAAATGCTGTAAGTTGTATTAATTCGAGTGTTACGAACTGGTTTTGGTGTTCCGCACAAGCCTCAATCGGCCACTTCCAAAGGTACTCGATAGTCATCATGCCTGTGCCAATCCCTGAGACGCTTGCTAGAAGAATACGTCCACCGATTATCTCTGCTCACATCTTCGCTGGGGCGTTACGAGACCACGAACTCCTTTGTTGCGGGCTATTCAGATGCAGAAGGGGGAATTGGAAACATAGAGTAAGATATTTCCAACTTCAATCCACCGTTTCCTCGAAAGAAGTTTGGCGGGTATACTTTGCGAGCAGCTTTGAAACAATAATGCTCAATACCATAAGATTCCTATCAAGTCTTCCTCCTATGTAACGAGCGGATCGTAGGGACATAGCGTAGGAATGATCTGGAGAAAGAGCCCAGAGGTTCTCCATAAGTGGTGCCGTGAGTAGTAAGCTTTCACTAAATAGAAACACGACATCGAAGTACTGAAGCAAAATAGGAAAGGGGACCCAAAACCGAGAGCCAAACAATACTGCAAAATCCGTCTATAACAAGTCTCTTAATGCAGACTCTGGACCCTTACTTTATTGGCGAAGATCCTTGTCGTGGCGTTTCAGGGAGTGCAGGTGAATGATTCGCCACTTCGACACCACCAGCTCTGAATACTCCTGCAGCTGATATACTAGGTATTCTGCAATTCATAGATCCCATGCAATACAAATCACAACGTGTCGTACCATGTATGTTCGCCATCTGTCCGTGTGCCGCAAATCAGTGGCACCATCGAATCACCTCCTCTTGGAACAACACAAGTTTGGTGTCCTTATCTTCACCAATAAACATTATCAGCAGTCATGACTTACTTGAGAACATAAAACCCCATGTGACATATTATAGGACGTGGCGGGCGTGCAAATGGAGCGTGTAGCGACCGTAACTGAAATTGCGTCTAGAGGGTTTTGAGAGCTGAATTGTGATCTTGATTCAAACCGCAGGACCCCAACATAAACAATTCTCAGCAATCAGAGCTTCGAAAGCCAAGAAAGCCGTGTCTGCTACCACTGACAGCTGGCATGCTGACTGAGGTAAATTCAGGAGTCTATGGCCGCTCGGCAGTTGCAGCGCCAAATGGCGTGGAAGAAAATTGGGATTGAAGGTGCACAGCGGGGGCAGACTCTTCCCGAGTGATTCGACACGGCTCACTTCTCTTTTGAATAGTATTTTTTGGCTGCTGATTAGAAACACAATCTTTAGACTGCTTGGCGCAGTGCGGGTTTGTTTCTGTGATGATGCAGTAGGAAGAGGAGATGGCAAAGCCTACGAGAACAACTTCAGGGTCGTTCTTGGAGAAGGTTCACAGTGATTGGAGGAGAGGGAAGGGAAGTACGGCCGAGTGATAGTACGACGAGGAGGAGAGAAGATGAAAGGTAGACGGCCCCCCTTGCCACCCCGAGAGGGACTAACGAGCTACCTTCCATGCCCAGAAGTTGATGTCAAAACCTGGTCGTGTATCAAAATACAAGATATGCCAGGAAGCATGGCTTGCATTCTTGTCTACTACAGGAATATTGATAATCCGGCATGCCGATACGGGATCATGAGAGCAAATGACGTTAGCTGCCTGCTGCTTTCCCATCTGCGGAAGCCTTCAAGGGACATTTCAACACCTGCAAAAATTTGCAGCTCCGTCATTCTTGGCAACTAGGGTTCCCCGTCGTAGTGATCCTTCTTTCATTGTTCACTACCACCCCCAAAGGCTGGAAACTTCAAAGAGCAGAACATTTTCATTTACTGCCAAAAATAGAAATACTAGCATACATGGCCGTACGACCCACCTTCGATGTCATCTCTACTCTATACATCGGAAACGCCAGTATCTGAAAAGCGGGCAGAGAGCATACAGTTTCCGGCGATGGTCAACCTCCAATTCACAGCCTCCCTTGACGGCCACCAACCCGTCCCGCCTGCCTGTTTTCCATATTACCGCCACTCAATATCCACAAAGTCGCAGAGGAGAGTTTGCGTTCGTAAATTGTCAATGGCTCCTCTACATGTTCTCGCAGTTCATTTAGCATGAAACATCCAAGCTCGCCTTCGAGTTCATGAGAAGGGCGACAATCAAGCCGTATAGACCTGTGGTGGGTTAGTTTCTTTACATGAAGCTTCCCGACATTCAAGCCTCAATCCCCCAAGCCAACGAACTCGGACACCTGCGAGATATTTTAGGATTTGGAGGAGGCAGCTTACCCAAGACTTCAGCAAAAATAAGAATCAGGATCATGCCGACGAAGAGACGAGGCTGTTGTGCGGTACCACGAACACCGGCATCTCCGACAATACCGATGGCAAAGCCAGCAGCAAGACCAGCCAGACCAACACTAAGCCCAGCACCAAGTTGGATGAAACCTGTGTAAAGTGGCAATTGTTGTTTCAAACCATCGGAGATCAAAACCGAAACGACGAGTCCATAGATACCAATAATACCAGCCATGATAACTGGAACAATATCTGGAGTCTCGAGTTAGACTTCTTTCTTTCATGATGTGGACCGCAGCAGCTTACTCTTGACAATCAAGTCTGGTCGGAGAACACCCATGGCACAGATACCGACACCAGATTTCGCAGTTCCGTATGCAGCACCGAAGCAGGTAAAGACAATAGCCGATGTGCAACCCATTGCACCAAAAAATGGCTGTGTTGATGTTAGCATTATGAGACCATGCTGTCGTTCCATGGCAGATGCGGAGTAAGAGGGAGATTGGCAGGAGCTTAGGCTTAGGAGTACGAACTGCATAGACCGGGCTGAGGATACAAGGGTCAGCATGTGTACATTTTGTTATGATGATAAAGATGAAGCTGCAAGACAGATGTCCTATGTGATGGAGCTTATCTTGACGTCTTGGAAGTTTCGTTGCTTGGGTAACTCACCAATAGACCAAACTGTCACCAACGTCCATCTTGAGGTTCTGGAGAGCTTTACTTGGATGAAGTGGATATTTGTGGAGCTTTTGTAAGCTGAATTGACGATGATTGTCAATTTGGTTGATGGCGTTGAGCTTGATGAGATCGATGTTGTCGTGACGTGAAGGAGAGGTTCAAAGCCAAACGCTCTAGCTTACCACGCTATACTCCATGTGGACTGGCGCAACCTCGAGTGTGCTAAGTGCTTGCCCGAATCTTTTATCATTTTTTGAGACCACGAAAAAACTTCGAGATCATCAAAGTCCTCCGCATTTCGCACAAAAAGCCAGGGCGAGCCAACGCAAGGAACCCTGAGTGATACAGCCGCTGCGCATCTTCCACAGGTCTCGTCCAAAAGGTACGGGCGCCACTCTGCTACAGCCTTTTGTAACACGACCACGGGCTGACAGCTTTTCGTAGCATTCCACCTCGAACCAACCCACCTCAAAATGGCAGAAGAGCAGAATGGATCTGCAGGTACGCTGCCAATCCTCCCCAGCCTCCTCCTATGAACCATAATGGTCATCTTATACTGACATTTCCCCAGCTTGGCCTGTCGCCGATGCTGCTTTAACCCAAGAGTTGTTGGATATCGTGCAACAAGCCAGCCATGCCAGACAATTGAAGAAGGGCGCCAACGAGGCTACGAAGACCTTGAACAGAGGTATATCCGAAATTATTATCCTTGCAGCCGATACTGCCCCTCTCGCCATTCTGCTACATCTCCCTCTCTTGTGCGAAGACAAGGTACGTCTACTACAGCAGGAAAGCAAATGAACGGAAGCGTGCTAACATATTTTTCAGAACGTTCCATACGTCTACGTACCTAGCAAAACTTCTCTTGGCCGCGCCTGTGGAGTCAGCCGTGCCGTGATTGCCGCCAGCATTACCACCAACGAGGCCTCCGACCTGATGAACCAGATCAGAAGCTTGAAGGACAAGGTTGAGAGACTCATGATCTGAGTGGTGGAATATGGGCTACATATGCTGGGCTGGGGCTGGAACGTTTCGGCAGGTGGCATTTGGCTATAGCGGGGATAAGGCGTCTGGATAGGTATGATGGGCGAACCAGGCCATTGCCATTGCACAAATGCATATGCCAACCAGGGCCTTCAATGGATCTGCTTCGGATTGGAGGCCGATTTCGAACTGTTAGGAAGATGTAGTGAACTTTATCCGAGAACCTCTGACCCAATGCCGTGACCATAGGTAAGCTTAGAAGTTGGATGACCTCATTCAGAGAAGTGATATCAACCGCAAACGAGCAAAGCCCCTATGCTTTCTCGGCTCGACCCACAGTACAAACATCTGGGGACGCATTACGATCTCCTCCATTACTGGGCGGACCCTTAAAATGGAACCGACACTTGCACCTCCGCACCAACCATGCGCCGGGCTTATTTACCTGGCCGTAGCATGGACCGTTTTTGATTCTGGTAGTCTGGAGTTATCTGGAAACTCTGCTATTCCTGGATCGGGGGTGCTGTTTGGAAACTGCATCTCCTACCAGATGGCGATATTCCGGCTCGTGAGGCGTATCATCTTATCATTTGGCCCTTACCGATGAATTCCCTCCAAGCTTTCGGCAGCAGCAGGTGCTGCAGGTCAAGATCAGCCCCCGTAGTTCAGCAGGAGACTCATGGGGTCACCAAGAATCAGAAACCCAGAAGAGTCTTACTTCGTGGTGCTTAATTGTCAATCGTGCTGGAGTGCAGCGTAAACTACTCTCATCGGGTCTCTATGTTTAGTTATACCTATCCATATTGCTTTTTCATTAGACTTCGTGGAAACTTAAGCCCAGACGAGCTTCTTGATACTATGTGAGAGCTGCTCTAGAAGCCCTGTACTCTTCCTGGCTTCAGAAAGCGATATGATATCCCCGCTCTCGACAATGCTTTTCCGTTCTGTGCCGACTTCCACAACTTGGCCATGAAGAATCATCCGCTCGATATCAGAGCAAATGCCTTTCACCTGTTCCATTTCATTAAGTCGCGGCTCGTTGCTAGTCACAGCCGATCTCACCGGTAACGCTTTGAGTGCCAGAACATTGAGCTCTGAGGCTGCAGGTGCCGCAGCTCCTGTGAGACTTTTGAAGATTGACTGTGGCCCAGATATCGAACTTCCGGCCTGAAAATCCGTTTCGGCGCGTGTCTGAATATTTGACATCGATCGAGTGTTCACCCTAGTGATATCGTCTGCGCCAGCCTTATACTTGACGACCAATCCCACGTTATGTTGTTCATCTACCTGGGCCGCCGAAAGAGTTGAGGTGATGTAAACACCGTATGTGATTCGTGATATGTGCTGTAAACCTATTCGGTCGTACGAGGAGACTTTCTCCATGTCCCAGTTAAATCTGACAGAATAAAGGGCTGCATCTGTGAGTAAAATAATGGACTCTTCGAGGGATATCGATTTGATCCTGTTCGGGGATGGTGGTGTAAGCAGAATCCAGCCCCCAATGAGCTCTTCATGCTCATCAGCGACGACCAACTTCTGACTTGTCTCGATAGCGGATTGCCTCATCTTGTGCATCGACACGCCGGGATCACTACTCATCAAGTTGGCCTCGAAATCCTCGAAGACCACAGATGAAACCGTTCCGAGAAGAAAGTCGATCACCACTTGGCTGAAATAATCATTCACGATGCTTCAGCTGTTAGCAGTATTGCAGGCTCAGCTGCAGCGGAAAAGCTACTTACCCACTGTAGAATCTAGAGATGGACAGACCCATATCTTTTATGGCACCCTGAAAGTCTCGCTTTCTTGTTCGTGTGAAATCGCCTTTCAGGGCAGCAGTCGAGGCATACTGGAATCAGTTAGTGGTTACTATCACTAGCCCTAGGAACAACTTGATATCAAGAACATTTGAATGTGAACTTGAAAACGGACACCAAGGACAGAACATCAAAAGAGTAAGTCGAACCTGTTTTGAAATCGCGTCGCCATTGTCGGCCCATACCGTGTTGAACCATTGTGTTGTCTGATCTGGCTGAAGACTCATGTCTATACCCTCGCTTTTCAATTGACTCTCAAGAGCCCGCATTCCACATGCACTTTGCACGACATTTGTACGGTCTAGGCAATCCATACAGTTTGTACGCAGAACACCACTTTGCTCGGATAGCTTCTCTCCATTGACTTCAATCGTTTGCCCAAACGCGTCGAGCTTCTTACTAAGCTTATCCATTAAGAAGCTGACATTTTCAAACTTCATTCCTCTGCAAATCAAGTGAAAATCGAACCATTCAAACCCGACATCCTTTTTGAATTCATCGTTAAATCGTTTCATGAACAGTTCATATTTGTCTCCCACAATCGCCTCCGCACCATGCTTTTCTACTAATGAGACAGCCTGGATGGATCCATATCTGTCCGAGAGTGAGCTGAAATGGCGGCTAAAGGCTCTATAGTTTGTTTCGTCCGAATGCATCAATTGTGGGATTGGCTTGAACGAGTATGGCGACTGTGAGAAAAATACTGGTACACTGCCTCGGATTTGCAAAAAAGAATAGACTTTATTCAACGAACTCCACGATGGATCGGATAATATCTGCTCAGTCTCGACACTGTTGGCAGTGAAGCCCCCTTCATCGACACCGCGGCGAAGGTAGCGTAAGCCGGCTCGTTGAACAGATCTCCGCGATATCAAGGTGAGCAAAAATGACTTGTGAGAAGTACTACCGTCACTCGACATTGGTTTGCTGCCATGTGGACGATCCAAGATCTGATGGCTATGATGATTTGCAGAAAGATCGACCAATTCCACCGACGACTTTGCAGCGCCGTCCAAGCCAACGATGGACTTTGGGGGATTTTGGTTCATGTCGAAAGCTTGCTGCCCAACAAAACCTTGGATGAGAGGCATCACAAGCGAGCTTTGCCCAGCGTCGAGAAATGGCTGGACTATGTGCCGGTTCCACCAGAATGTCGGGTCTACGTGAGGGTGCAATGAACCCTCGTTTCTCGACCTAGTCCGATTGGCAAAACTCTTCGTGAGATCATAGTCGTAGGAGAAGTAAAAACTCTGTGATGAGCCAAAAAGAATATGTGTTGTACGTAGAATTTTTGGCAGCAGAGACTCTACTACATCAATAGAATCTTCCCTCGACTTACTGTCCTGAACATGTTCCTCTGCCGCCTTAGTAAGTGAATCAGCTGGGCTTGGTGTGTCAGGACTGTCAATACTAGGCTCGGCACTGGTCATTCCTAGGTTCCTTCTCTGATCCGCTGTCCATCCATTCTTGGAGAACCACTTCTGAGCAAATCTGCCATACCCCCCTTTGCGTGCAATGACATCCTCAGCTACGCTGGTCGTCCTTCTGTGTGGTAGTAATATCGAGGCTGAACTATTATCCATGCCATCATCTTCAACGTCATCACCGACTCTTGCAGACAGGCTAGCCTCTTCGCCATCCGTATCGCCTTCGTCCGGGCTGCGGCCCCCGTCGTTTCTTTGTAGTAATGCACGGGTATTTGCTATTGATCGCTCTGCCTCGGTCCTCGAGGACAGTGGGGTCAGGGCAACATCTGTAATGCAATAGATCACCTTCCCTTGAACCTGCGCAACTTGCTGTCGTTTGACAATGCTTATCAAGAAAGACGATTTGGATACAGTCAGCAAGCCTGTTCATGAGTAGAATTAGCCACGTCCGATCCAACCGCTTCAGAGGGACATCGGCCTGCATACCGACGAGTCCAAAGGCCTCAAATCCCTTCTCACTGCTTTCACTGTGGACACCATCCCTGAGAACTGGGGTAATGCTGTTGTCCTTGTATGCAATCTTTGTGGCAGGTCGACCTGGTCGGGTCTCGGTGATGATAAGGCCGTCAACGGCAGCAGTTATGAGAAGTTTGCGCGCGAGGCCAGGCATGCTGGCGATGCTACGGACGGCGCATCAAGCTTTGGTGGAAAGAAAGAGGAGGAGAGGAGAGGAGAGGAGAGGGAGAGGAGAGGAGAGGAGAGGAGGGAAAACAGAAGGGCGCCTGTTCCAAGCTTCTGGCTGCTTAGTCTGGAAAGGCGGGAGCGGGGGGAGTACGCGAAGGTATTTGCGTGATGTCTTTGACAACTGGCTCGGTTCTGACGTAAATTACCTTGGATGACGGTACGGTACCTTACTTACCTACCAACCCTGCTAGCAACCTTACTTCGTTAGGAACTTTTCCCCTCAGCTGCCGTTCAGAGCACACTGTGTACTACAGTACCTATGTTAGATACCTTAACTTAGTTGTAAGTACCTTACCTACCTAGGTACTGGGCGAAAGTTAGCGCACGTGCCCTGTAGTCCAGAGAACATCCAGAACGTTAGCGCCTCGCTTCAGCACTGCGCCCTACAAAAAGTGTGTGGGTTATTTGTGTATAAATGGCAGCTTGTTATACCTAGGTAGGTACAGTATTCGTAGGTACGGAGGTGATGAGGTAGAGTAGCTCGGTTGATTGCGGGCACAGACAGACATCGGCACTCATTCTCATTACCATAAGAAGTGGCCCTCTGACTAGGTACCGTACCTTATAGGGATTTGTACTCTGTCTGGGAGTAAGAGTACTTACTGTACTTACTGTCTGTATCGTCGCACCACCAGCACTGCAGTCAATACTACCTCACCTCGAGACCCAAGGACGAAACGAGCTCAACAGGCTGTATTGACACAACGCAGGCCCTTTTGCAATGGGCAAGTACGGCAAGGCCGTCAAGGACGGCGGCAGAATGGTGCGAGATGATTCGGAATCGCTGCGCAAGGGTGCGGTCAAGAAAAATCCGACAAAGAAGCCCATCGCCAAGACAGCAACAGCAACAGCAACAGCAACAGCAACAGCAACAGCAACAGCATCAGCAACAGCAACAGCAACAGCAAAAGCTGATGTAGAGTCTGTTGTTCCTCTCAGACTCCAACAACTTGCACTCAACATCTTCAAAGATACCTTCCCGGAAGTTTTGACCTCCCAATCTCTGCCTGCTTTGCTGCAAGAGGTCAAAGGTCGACTGTACGAAAGAGATTTCGAAGGAGCATTTGGCCGAAAGGACTACCTCGAGGCCTACTCTGTTCGGTGGAGTCCCAGCCGAGCCCTTTGCTACCAGAATATCCTGGTCGACCTTCAGCAACACCTCAGGGAGATATTCCCAACTTGCTATAGTGAGAAGACAACAGATATCGCTTGCTTGCGTGCCATAGCTTTTGGTGGTGGTGCCGCTGAGGTTGTTGCATTTGGTGCTTTCCTTCGACACGTGCGTGGGACTCTCCAACAAAAGACCATCCATGGTGCGGATCTCAAGTTAGAAACCCTCGCAATCACAGATGCTGTTCCCGGATGTTCACCGCTCAGGCACAAGTCCGATTCGGCAGAGCCAGAAATCGAACTTGTGCTTGTGGACAGTGCGGGTTGGGAGGATGTTTGTCTCAAACTCGGCCGCGGGCTCACAACAACTCCCATCCTTTCGAAATACGCAAATGCTGCAGCCAGGGAGGCAAATTTTCCCTTGCTGGATGTCGGAAGTCTCAAGTCAACATTCGTTTTGGAAAACGCACTCCAGTTAGATCAGCATCAGATTCTCAAGTTAGTTGGGGGGACGGAAGCACTTATCACGCTTCTCTTCACCTTGAACGAAATGTATACAGCATCGATCAGCAAGACCACCAAATTCCTTCTCAACTTAACATCCGCTGTCAAGCCGGGCACTTTGCTGCTCATAGTTGACAGTCCTGGGAGCTACTCGGAAACCATGGTTGGTCCGGCTGGTGAGACAGAAGCACCTAAGAAGTATCCAATGAAGTGGTTGCTTGAACATACTCTGCTTGGAAACGAAACACCAAGAAGTGCAGAAAGTCAAACCAGCCTCTGGGAGAAAGTTGAGTCAGACGACTCAAGATGGTTCAGAATTCACGAAACCCTCCGATATCCGATAGCCATCGAGAATATGCGGTATCAATTGCACCTCTATCGAAAGATATGATGTTATGGATTTACAAATTTCATTTCATCATTCAACATACATTCGTGAAGAGACTCTTCCGAGCAGACCACACAAACTCTAGCATCGACTAAACATCAAGGGAACAAGAGCTGTACTTTCGTGTCCTATCAGCGCCCTACCCTTTCTCCCAGCCGAACATGTATTCTTGAAGAATCCTCTGACGTGTTCCTTCCTATCCTGGTTTTTACAATATTCCTTGCCTAGTTGCTTCAATACGGCCTCTTTCGCCTTCTTCAGCGCCGACACTCTCTTGTCGGGGTCATCGGCCAGCTCTTGCTGTGCTGCCTCCATCTCAGCATTTCGCTGGACGCCTTGTACATTTGGATTGAACGTTGTAGGCATCAGGACCTCCTCGATAGGTCCAGTGATAGGAATCGGACTCGATATGACTAGCTTTCCAGAGGATTCCTTGTGCCTGTGCTTGCGTCTTCGCCTTCGATGCACTCTCTTCTTTTGAAGTAGAACAGATGTCCGCGAGACCTCAGGTTGCAACTGGCCGCTTGTTTCGATGACTTCATCAAAGTCAACGAGCTGGTTTAGGTAGTCCTGACTCTGAAAGCGTCTTGAACTGCCTGACTCGGACCCACTATGCTGCGACAACCACTCGTCACTGCCACTACTTCTCGTCAGAGGCGAAAGGGCATCTTCCCAAACACCGCCGTTGATGAGAGCCACGTTCTCGAAGTCGAATTCTCTTACGGTGTGACGATGTCTAAGTATAAAATCAGAGACTTGTTCAGCGGACATTGTTGAGTTTCGAATCTGCATGTAGCGAAGCTTCGGAAAAGTGATTGCTGGCCGCAGGGGCGCAGCTGGCAGTGGCGACATTGGCGAAGTGACCTCCGCGAAGAGCTTCGTGGACGACTTTGGAGAAGCGAAGAGAGGGTCGGCGAAGAGCGTAAAGGGGCAGGGACCTCTTCTCCCACTCCATCCGAAACTCACCTTCTCGAGGGTGGACGAGAAGGCTCGAATGTAATCATCGAGGATCTTCAAGTGGTCACGACCAGGCCTTGATCCTTGGAAGTCCCAGGTGTCCATGCTGATGCTGAGTTTCTTGATCTGCTTCCACCTTCGCCCAGCTGATGGTGTGCATCCAAAGCCTGGCATATGGCGGAGATACACAAGTCCAGAAGGATGTATGCGGCTGAGAGAGAGCCTCTCAAGCCTTTCAATCGGCGCCCGCTCAATGGCAATTCGCAAGCTGATGAGGGCGTAATCGACCGCATCTCGACGATAGCGTTGAGCTGGATCCTGATCAGGACAAGAGATAGTAAGATGTCGGATGTTAGGCATATATGTCATTGCCTTGACGAATGCTGGCACGTTGGTGGCGGCATGGAAGATTGGAGGATATTGTTGTGTCAGGAGGTCAGCTAACTCTGGCGACCCGTACTTAGGCCTTTGGCAGACTGACTCCGCCGAAGTGTGAGGGGTATAGAGGAAGTTGATTTCCCGCCCGGTCTTGGGATTTATGAGAGGTGGTAGAAAAGTTGCCGGGCTATGTGGCATGGAAAATGTGAGGTGTTCGACATGGCGACCTATTCGAGACAGTGCTTCGAGTCTAGATGGACGAGTGAGAGAACTTGGGGTGAAGGTCAAGCGGGTTCGGGCAAACAGGTCTGGAGTTGTGAGGTCGCAACATTCTGAACTTGTGAGGCGCAGGGCACAGGTGGAGGCAGTGTCCAGATGTGAGAGCAGGCTTTTTCGTAATCCATCGTCCCGCCAAAGGCGAAGGAAAGTTGGGCTGGTAGTGGCCATAGCTTGCCCATGTCGTCAAAACAGAGCGTTCGGCTATTGCGGACAATGACAAGCAAAGTAATGTCGACAGAAGTAACGAGTTGACAAGAAGCTTATCGATGGCTGGCAAGGCGATAAGGGCTCACAATATGGTAATGTTGTTGATGTAAGGTGCTGAAGCGAGGCTAGTACAGGTGAGAAAAGGCACTTCACAATGCCACGCAACGCTATGCAACAATATTGAGAGCAGATATGAATGTGAAGTAGGTGACCTGTCCCAGGCCATCATCTCATATACCCAAGGCCCATCGCCTCTCCACTGTTCTCCCATCCCACAGAATGTCGCAAATCGTCTATAACGTGATTGTGACTCCTCTTGCTATGCAGCTCTCCTGCATACCGAAGCAAGCATAAACACGAAAATGTCACGATCGCGACACATGTTCAACAGCGTGAGAAGCGCGTCTACTGGAACGATTGTGGGTGGCGTAGGTGCTCAAAAGCACCCACCTGCATTGCGCCCGGAGCTATGGTGCTGCCCGTTTCAATCGTCCGAAGGCTGGGCCAATGATATAACTTGAAACAATCAAGGTGCAGCACGCTGATACGCCGGATAATAGGCAACCCCACAAAACACGACTGGACGACGGCAAAGGGGATGAGGGCCAATCGACATATTAGGGGGGCTGGGGCGGCATGTTGTTGACCAGCTGGACCAGCGAGACCAGGTCGGAAGGTCAGACGCTCAATCGCGAAACAGACGCGGAAAGTCGCGCCACACTTGAAGATCGCTTGGCGGCCTTGCTCGAAATGTGGTGTTGGGGCGTCTGAGGGAATTCGTGGAGACCATGCTATTGTTACGCCGGATCTTTCGCGCCTATTTCACTATCACGGAAACCGGGAACCGAACGCAGTGAGATTCGTAACGACAAGATGTGGCGTTGAGAAATGGCACATAACTCCGTACCTTGTATTTCCATTGCATTGGCGCGTCGCCAGCTTAGGAAAGAGACCAGCATAAAATCCAATGTGGCACGATAGAAAGAGGTCTTGGAATTGAGGAACGACAGAGACGTAAAAGATTTGTTTTACCTTAAGCTGTCTGTAAATCGGTTGCATTAGTGCTCCGTGGGTTGTTAAATGTGTTCACCAAAGGTCACATAATATCAAGATCACGCGCCAGTGCTTCGCCAGATATCCGGATTCTTGCCGATCCAACCTTTGCAGTCACGGCCTCGAGTGATTTCCATGTCGAGTTTGGTCTATTCAATCCGGTGAAATATACCAGCCCATAACGCATCTCAAGGAATTGCACGTGCTTCCAACTGTAGATGTTGGATCCCTCTTTTGGCCGACTGCTTCCAGGTTATCTGGCTGCAGACAAAGTTAGCAAGGTAGGTAACATTGCTCCAGTGTATTGGAAATGTGACTCGTGTTTCTTGGATTACCGGACTTACCTTCTTGATACTAGGATTAATGTTGTAATAGTCCATATCAGTCTTACTGCGATCTCTCTTCTTGCTGTCTGGCTTCCTTTCGAGTGCACAAAACTAGGCATTACTATCTTCGCCATGTTGTTTGGTCTTGGCCGTGGCTCGAACATCAGTCTCCGACCAGTTGTGCAATATCGAGGACTACGGAAGATATTGGTCGATTTGCTTCTCAGTTGTACCGTTGAAATGCCTGTCTGGCCCCATCGCGGGAAATATTTCGGATCAAATGGGTTCGCTTCAAAGGACTAGTCCAATTCTGTTGGATATTGATGTGCTGGAGGTCTTTCCGCCCTCTGCTACGCGAGAGAGTACTGGCTGTGGGGTAAGGGCTCTGAACAAATTTGAGGAGAAAGAGTGACGAAGCTCGAGATGAGCAGATGGAATGTCTATCCTGTGTAAGCACAGTAGTCAGAGGGAGGAATACCGATGATGTGAAGATGTTGCCTCGAGACATCCTGGTCGTAAGTTTTCAGACACGACTGGTTCCACTCAGCATGAGCCACGGAAATGGGAATCTCGGGGGATGGGATGGGCATTCAAATCCGGGAACTTTCTGTCGCACGTTCGGAACCCTGTCGGACAAGAATTTGCTTTTGTGTAGATCCCCGGCACAGCACGCCCCAGACCCGGATACTGTATCCCTGCCTGATCTCACTGTGCTAGGCCGCTTGGTGACATCTGGTGACATTATTATTGGAAATGGCACAGCACATGCAGTACAGTACAGCGGTGGTGCAGGACTTTTGACTGGACTGTTGGACTGGACGGAGGCGGAGGCGGAAGCTTCTTGCTTATTGAGAAGGGATAAGAGGTGAAAGGTGAAAGGAGGATGTGAGCAGGAGCAGCGAGAAGTCGATGTCAACATTACGGAGAATAATTCCAGCTTGTCGTTGTCGAATTCACCAAAACATAAATTTACATTAGGCAAGGCACCTAAGGTAGGTACCTACCTGCCTGGGCTGGTTACTACCTTAGGTACCAGCAGTAGGTAGGTGTGTCGTTACCGTATTTTGTTTACTAGGAGGTAGGTAATTTACGAGTAAGGCAGTTTTTCAAGTGGCACCTGTCAGGTCTGTCAGGGTCTTTTTAGGGCGGATCCGCTTCGGGACGCTGGGAGTATCGGTAACTTCCATTCCATTCGCAGGTACCTAGGTAAGAATATTAATGGTTTACCTTACATAAGGTAGAGGGTAGGTAGTACTGTAGGTAGTAGGTAGGTAGTAGGTAGGCTCGTAGGGTAGGGTAGGGTAGGGTAGGTAGGTACCTTAGGCAATACACAGCACAACACAGCACCGAGAGGAGGATGAAAACAGCTTCTGTGTGGTAGGTAGGGACCTACCTTACCTACCTACTTCAGGTACCTTGCCTTACGAAGTTGTTGTACCACCTTAACTATCTCACCTACCAACCTAGGTACCTGTCTACCTTAGGTCCTTAAGTGTCCTCCCTCGCCTCCCTCACCTCCCTACCTAGGTGCCTATACCGCGTAAATAAAAGTGGCCGATTGAGGCACTCCAAGAACACCAAAACTAATGCACTAAAGAATGTTTTTCTCTACGCCCGAACAATCAAATCCTCTGGAACTTTCGGAATATCTTTAGAAATAGTATATACGTACTTCTGCTATAGCAATTACTCTCTTGTAGAGTTGTTGTTGCGCAAATCGCGAGGTCGTGCTGTCGGAGACCTTGCCTCAATCGGCCACTTTTATTTACGCAGTATAGGGTGCCCGTGCCAAAGCCCGTGCCCGTGCCTGTGGCCTCCCCTGCCCGCAGTTGAGAGTGAGATTTAACTGGTAGGTACTGGGTACCTAGGTAAATTACCTACGAGTACGGAGGGACTTTACGAAGGGTTAGGTAAGTCCAAAGTACAGACCGGCCTGGACTTCCCAAAGTTGCGTGTCGCTCCAGACTCGGTATCTAGGTACTGTAGCGAGAGTGTAGGGGCTTTCGAATCAATCTAATCTCGTCTCATCTCATCTCGTCTCCTCTGCAGCTCTGCGCTACAGGCACGGGGAGCTTTCCTCTCGAGACCCTGGACACGCCACACCACACCATACCACACCACACCACGTCTCTTCCTCCTCATCCTCCTCCTCCTCGTCGTCCAGCCCTCGCGCACCGAGCCTGAATAAACATCACACACGCCTGCCGTGACTTGCAGGCTATACTTCTAACATAAAATAACATGAATTTGCGACCTGCCGGAAATCAATCGTACAGTTGCTAGGCTGTGGCGCGGCTTGCTTACTTTGCCTCCCTCATCCTCTCGCCTCGCTCGAGCTCACACACGGGCGCCGAGACTGCCGTTTCCCAAGCCAGAACAGACCTGACAAGACACGAAAATCCCTCTATTGTCACGTATCTACTACTTCCTTTCAACGAGCTCCGAATTTTTCAGTTGCGCCTCGTCTCGCAGATCGCCAGCAGCCCCGGACCAAGCTCCAGAACATGCATCGAGACCGGTAGATCCACGACCTCGCCCGTGTCGATTGGTCGATGAGGGCGGATACATTGACGACTGAACCCAACGACCGCTCGCTGTCAACCTCAAGATGCGAATCGGTATTCGAGAGCAGCTAGGGGCAGTCATACTGTTGACGTCCCTCGTTCCTCTCGCCGTGCTGTCTATCGCTGTTTGGATCAACAATAAAAATTTCGTGGTCAACATTACATCCCAGGAGCTCAGTCTTACAGCGAGCCTGAAAGCATCCCAAATTGCCTCGGATCTGCTTCTCATACAGTCAACATGTGCGACCATTACAACCAGAATCCTGCTGAATCAGGCGCTGAAGTCTTACTACAAGGGCAATGGGACGTCCATGAACTGGACTGCTGCACTTAATGATGTGTCTAGTGCACTAGATAGTAAGCATCAAAGTTCCATACCAATCCATATGCTCTATGCTCTCGGGCTGAAGTTCGCCGATGAAGTGAGCTTAGAGACATATCGGGGGTGTCCTCATAGTGACCAGCCCTGTACTGACCACAGTGCTCTCAGGCGGCGGCTTCTCGTCCTTACTCCAGATCATCGTCTTCTCACGAAATTCGACCATCGGCGGAAGTGGGAGGGAAAATGCTTCGCTGGGACTCATTAAGGCGACTGCGCCGAATCCTGGGATCCAATTGCCTTCCCAGTACCCGAATCTCACTTATGCCATGCTCGGTGACAATACGGACCTTGGATATCCAACTGCATTATATCCAAATATCACCTATACACAGACCGACGAGCCTGATTCAATGGACCCTTCTGTTAACGCAACCAAAGCCGCAGCGTTCACTGATCTTCCTCTAAACAGCACATCAGAGCTTCTACTTGGTCCACTTCAGATCAATGATTCGTACGCTCTAGTGTCACTTACGCTTCCCATCACGGACAACTTAAATCGGGGAATCGTGCTAGGTTATATGACTGTTGTAGCTGCTGCGACATCACTCATTAGCGTTACACAGTCGCGCGAGGGTTTAGCTAATACAGGAATCGTATTACTTATAGGTCCTAGTCGACGAGAAAATCTGTTTCGCTATGAACAGCGGCCATCTAATGCAAATTACGAAGCTGATGCCGAAACCATTGGCGGAGCCAATGTGAAATTCATCTTTCCGCCGAATTCATTCCAAGGTCAGCGTAATCGACATGAAAGATACCTGTAAGCGAATCTCTTAAGTTCAGCAGTGGGGAAAATTCCTCCAATCAAGTAGGCGCGTGTAATTACACCGCACCCTCGTTTGCCTCGACATCTCCATTTAATGCTGTTGACACTTCTGACCTCTGTAGCCAAAACCTCTCCGAATTCGGATCATCTAATTTCAGTCTCAAGTCATATCCAGCCGCAGTTGCTGGCTTCAGAAACTACCTTCCAGATTCAGTCAACAATGCCGATAGCAGATTGACGACACACAATGAGCAGAATGTCAGTGTTGCTGTTGGCTGGGCGAGACCACAGAGCACGCTCGTGTCGTGGCTACTCATCGTGGAGCAAAGCCACGGTGAAGCCTGGTCACCGATAAAACGACTTCAGACTATTGTCCTCGCCTGTGTGTTCGGCACTATCGGCCTGATATTGATTGTGGTCCTTCCTATGGCTCATTACAGCGTCCGTCCGATTCGAAGACTACGAGATGCAACAGAAAAATCTATTGCACCACCTGGGTACACTCCCAATGGAAGCATCCGAACTGAGAGGGAGGAACACGACATGTCAGGGGATGAAATGGGTGAACTTGAGCGCCCGAACAGCACTTCTCAACCATCCAACAAAGGCTTGTTTTTGAGACTCAAACACCTAACACCCGGATCAAGACGGAAGACCATCATTGAACGACATGAGGATGAGCGGAGACGAGTGTTCAAAATTCCAGGAAAAGTGCGAGACCGAAAGCATTTCATCACGGATGAACTGACAGAGCTGACCAGTAAGTGGTGCCAGATCATGTGTTTGTTATACACTGACTTGATTTCGAGGCACTTTCAACGACATGTCTGACGAGCTTATGCTCCAATATTCCAGCCTCGAGCAGAAGGTAGCCGAACGGACGGCCGAGCTAGAGATCAGCAAGAGAGCAGCCGAGGCTGCCAACGAGAGCAAGACACTTTTCATCGCCAATATCTCGCACGAACTGAAAACTCCTCTGAATGGCATTCTTGGCATGTGTGCCGTTTGCATGGGTGAGGATGATCTCCCTAAAATCAAACGCAGTCTGGGAATAGTCTACAAGTCCGGAGACCTGCTATTGCATCTGCTCAACGATCTACTGCTGTTCAGCAAAAATCAAATTGGTCAACAGTTGAGCTTGGAGGAGCGAGAGTTTCGGTTGTCCGACGTCAAGACTCAGATACTTACCATCTTTGCCAAGCAAGTCCAAGAGGGCAAAATCGATTTCAGCGTAAAGTTTTTGAGCACTGATGCAGAGCCAGTCGTAGAGCCTGCCACGGAGAAGCCATTGCCAGCTCTTGGCCCTGCCGGAATCGGAAGACTAAAAGATCTTTTTCTCTGGGGTGATCAGCACCGTATTCTCCAGGTTATCATCAATTTGGTTAGTAACAGCCTGAAATTCACCCCCGAAGGTGGAAAGGTGGAGGTTCGTATCAAGTGTCTCGGCGAGGCGGAAGCACTGTCCGACGGGAGTAGGAATTCTATGGGATCGAAACAGAGCAGCCAGCGCAATTCCAGAAACCGGCAACGGAATGATTCTGGTTCAAATACGTCACAGGTTTCGAGGAAACCGTCAAACTCGTCACAACCAGCCATGGGGACGGCTTTACAGATAAACCCGATGGATCCGAAGGTAACCCCAAGAATACAATATCGCGAGCGGTCACGCTCTCCTCCTCCACTTAATGCACGGACCTTAATGTTTCAATTTGAAGTCGAAGACACTGGCCCTGGTATTCCGGAGCAGCTTAAGGATCGAGTTTTTGAACCTTTCGTTCAGGGCGACTTGGGATTGAGCAAAAAATACGGTGGAACTGGCCTGGGCCTAAGTATTTGTTCGCAACTGGCTGGCTTGATGGGAGGCACTATAACACTCACCGATGTTGAACCTCATGGATCAACATTTACGATGAGGATACCTTTGAAGCATACGAAATCCCGGGCACCATCGACGTCGAGTACAGATCCCCAGGGATCGAGACCTCCGAGTACTTATAGCAACACTGACGGCAATCGTCCCACCTCCAAAACACCGGGAGATGCCAGTCCCAAACCAGGATTTGAGAAGGATTCGCAGCCACGTCTCGTTGGACTCAGCCAACCGTTCTTTGCTTCGGCATCAGCGCACTCACCTCCTGGGAAGACCTCCAGTGACCAAATAACCGCGCTGTCAAAGGCAGCTGGTAAAGAACCAGGATCGAAACTCAGAGTACTTGTGGCAGAGGTATGTTGTTCCACATAATAAACGCACTCAGCCTTGCAAATCACACATATACCTTGGAGGGATTCCTTCCTGATTTTGGTCTCGCGTCTGTGAACTGACTTTGGACATAGGATAACCTGATAAATATTGAAATCGTCCTCCGGTAGGTTTTGGTCTATTCCTGCACAACTTGGATTCCGCTGACTTTGGTAGTATGCTTAAACTGGAAGATATCTATGATGTCGTGATTGCAAAGGATGGCCAGGAAGCATACGATAAAGTCAAGGAGAGCATGTCGAAGGGTGAATTCTTTGACTTGATCTTCATGGACGTCCAAGTAAGTCGCTCGGTATGATATTCCCTTAGAACAGCTACTGATTGCTTATAGATGCCAAATCTTGATGGTCTCCAAAGTACCCGACTCATCCGCCAAATGGGTTATTCTGCCCCTATAGTCGCACTCACTGCATTTGCCGAGGAGAGCAATGTCAAAGATTGTTATGATTCTGGAATGGATATGTTTCTCAGGTGGGCCTCTCATTCTACGCGCTCATTTGGAGCGTACTGATATCCGAGATGTAGTAAACCTATTAGACGCCCAGCCCTGAAGCAAGTCTTGAAAAAGTTTGCAACCATCCCCGAAGAGACGGAGACATCATCTGTCACAAACAAGAGCAGCTCATCGCTCTCCGAAGTTGGTCCGTCAGGCTCATCAACCAATCTCGATCAGCCAACGGAATTGACAGAACCAACCTTAAATGGAACCTGCCCACGGAAATGAGATCTAAAGGTGCGACCGGCACATTCGATTCTACCAGTTAATTTGTTGTCCAACCAATATGGCCAGAAACAACAAATCTTGAAAGAAAGGCTTTTTAATGTTTAAGACTACCCACGATTTCTCTTTGTCAGCAAAAACGACCGGCGCATTTGGGTGATTGTGGAAGGGCAGCATACTTGCAGGATACCAAAACGGATATTGGTTTAATATCGTCGGCTTTTTTGTTTGTAACTTGGGGCAACAGCCTTTTTTTTTCGTTCTCGTTATAGCATCGCAGAGACGATGTCTTTAGTAACCTGGCCTCTCACGTGTACATAAGGGAAAAGGTTGGCGTCTAATAATCCAGGGATGCAGAAGATGGCTAGAGCTTCTGGTGTGGGAATGTAAGACTTTGATGACGAGCATAATGATTCAGTGCTATGGAGGAGATCTTCGGCAATGGGAAAGTAGGAACCGTAGTGATATGTTTCTGGCTTCCTCAGCCATGTGTACTGTTTCTCCAACACGTCATGTCCCAAGGATCAACCAAACACGATACTGTGGGTCAGCTTCCTCCTCCCATACTGGTGTTCCCCGCACTTCACGAAAGGCAAGAATGACAAGATGCATGACAGAGGGCAGGATTGGCAGTGCAGCTGCCACAGCATCGACGATCTCTTGTTCAATGTATGGTTGCCATTGGAAAGTTTTCCAAAGAACGCAACATAAGATGGAGCGAGGTCAGACGCACTTGGCAGCAGGAAGAGGAGAGGGTGCCAGTGCGCTTGGAGCTTGCTCTCCCACGCTTCCGAATCGTCCGCGTGATCTGGGAGATGAGAAACGACCTGGAGTGCCATGCCATGTACCTAGGTAGCATAGCGAGCATTGTACGGGTCGGGGTCATATCTTACTGCAGGCCAAACTTCACCTTCTCGGAATTTTCACGAGGCAGGACCCTCTTTTTGGTAACGTGAGCCTGAAATTCGCAGCAGCAGCATCAACGGCAGGCTTCGGCAGTAGGTACCTATACCTATACCTCCTAATAGGTACTCCTAGGTACTCCCACCAGCCCCTACTCCTCAGGTGAGGAACTCGACGGGATGCTGCCAGCACCACACGGTCACCTGACAGGTAGGTAAGTAAGGCAGCATGGAGGTACCTCCCAAGGGATGACGAATTACCTACCTTACGGAGAGACTGGACTGGACTGGACTGGACTGGTGCCCAGAAAGAGCGCACTTTCTATCTCTCTCGCAGCTGGTAATTTACGAATATAATACTCCACTCCTCTTTAGGACAAAGATCCCGAGAAAGCAGCGAGCCTCACCTTACCAGCTTACCATACCATACCATACCATACCATACCATACCATACGGTCCATACCACACCTTGCCTTCCATTGCTCTGCCAGCGGAGATGCGGATGCGCACTATCGCCATCGGCCCCAGTGCCAGAGCTGAAGTGCCACTCAGAGAAGGCTTTATCAACTATCAACCAACGATGATGCGACCTGCCTGCTTTTTGCTTTGGGCAATTTCTTGTTCTCCGAGTTCCCCTCCCTTCCCTAGAAATCCGTGTTTGCGAGCTTTGTCCGAGGGACCGGCACATACCTTACCTACCGACCTATCCTACCTAGTCACCTAGTCTACTCTAGTAACTTTGGGCCAGCTAAGTAGGTAAATTACTACAGTAGCGAGAGTAGGTCGCTTCCAGGTGCGTCGAGGTCCTGGTCCTGCTTACCCAGGCTCGCCAGGGCAGCCCAGATACCCCGCCATGGCTGTCCATGGACAATACTCGTAGACCATACGAGTAGGTACAGTAGTCCCATCCATACCTACCTACCTTACCTTACCTACCGGTTCATACAGTAAATTTACCAGTACAGTAGCGTACCTAGCACAGCATGGATATTTTGAGCTCAATACAAACTTAATCGACCCCGACCAGCAGCACCACCTCACCTCACCTCACTTCACCGGCACTACTACCTCCACACCACCCCACTACCCGATTGCCAGTGCCCAGTACCAGTGCCCCCCCCTCCCCCCCCCCCCCCCCCCCCGCCAAAGGGCCTGCCTACATCAAAACCGTCCTGGCCACCTTCCCCCTCACTTCTTTTTCCTGTGATCATTCCACTTCATCAACGACATCCAGGTCCTCAAATTACAGCTCCATCCATCCATCCATATTTCCATACTTAGTCCAATTCGGAACGCCGTCCGTCATCATGTCCTCGACTGTAGGAAAGGTGCGTTATGACCCCGCACCTGCATTAAGGAGGCCAATAATCTCTCCTCCCAGCGTCCTATGCCACGAATCCTACTGACTCTGTGCCTCTAGACAATAACCTGCAAGGTTAGTGTTATACGAAGCTGTCATGGGTCACCAACCGAATAATAACGATCTTTTGTAGGCCGCTGTTGCGTGGGAGGCCGGAAAGGAATTGACTCTAGAGACAATCGAAGTCGCCCCACCAAAGGCTGGCGAAGTCCGCATTGAGATTTACTACACCGGCGTTTGTCACACTGGTAGGTTGGAAAGCAATTTGAAAGCAATTTGCACAAGCTGATAGGATTTGCAGATGCCTACACACTTTCCGGAAAGGATCCCGAGGGAGCTTTCCCGATCGTCCTCGGGCACGAAGGAGCCGGTATTGTAGAGTCTGTTGGAGATGGCGTCACGTCCGTTAAGCCAGGGGACTATGTCGTTGCTCTTTAGTAAGTTGATTTCTCATGCCACGCTGAAGCGCATATTTGACAGGTCTCCAGTACCCCTGAATGCAAGGAATGCAAATTCTGCAAATCCGGCAAGACTAACCTCTGCGGAAAGATCAGAGCTACACAAGGAAAGGGCGTTATGCCAGACGGGACATCGCGATTCAAGTGCAAGGGTAAGGATCTCCTCCATTTCATGGGAACCTCAACCTTCTCGCAATTCACCGTTGTTGCCGATATCTCTGTGGTTGCCATCACGAAAGATGCTCCCATGGACCGAACTTGTTTGCTAGGATGCGGCATTACAACCGGTTACGGAGCTGCCGTTGAGACTGCCAAGGTCGAGGAGGGTTCTACAGTTGCTGTTTTCGGAGCTGGCTGTGTCGGTTTATCTGTCGTCCAAGGCGCTGTTGTGAGAAAAGCCAGCAAGATTATCGTCGTTGACCTGAATCCCAATAAGAAGGCCTGGGCGGAGAAGTTTGGGGCGACCGATTTCGTAAACCCAGGCGAGCTCAAGAACCAGTCTATTGTTGAGAAGCTGATCGAGATGACCGATGGTGGTTGCGATTATACCTTTGACTGCACCGGAAACGTTGGTGTTATGCGAGCGGCTTTGGAGGCTTGCCACAAGGGATGGGGACAGAGCATTGTTATCGGGGTTGCTGCTGCCGGACAAGAGATTTCGACAAGACGTAATTTTTCCCTCTTCAAATCACTGGTTGCAGAAACTAACGTGTCACAGCATTCCAGTTGGTCACTGGTCGCGTATGGAAGGTCAGTTTCTTTGTTCTCCTGCATTTCAATAATTTACTGACAAAATGAAGGGATGTGCATTTGGTGGTATCAAGGGTCGCTCACAGCTTCCTGACTTGGTTGATGACTATATGAAGGGCAAGCTCAAGGTCGACGAATTCATCACTCACCGCAAGCCGCTTGCCGAGATCAACAATGCTTTTGACGACATGAAGGCTGGTGACTGCATTCGTTGCGTTGTGAATATGCGCGACTCGTAGTTTGATATCCTCTCTCGGGTATTAAATGAGATCAAATAAAGTGGTCTGATGGCGGCAGTAATAAGTTCACAGAATATGGTTAAAGATTTACTACTGTGTATGTTATCTATGCTGACACAAAAGTTATCTCTTAAATCTGCAAGCTGAGAGTCTTCATATTTAAAAGATTTAGAGACGCAGCCTATTACGATTATCCGAATTACCCATATCGAGTCTGACAGTACATTTGCTCCGTGATTCTGACAATTGTGTCCGTCAATGTATTGGTATTCAATACTTCTTCACTTTGAATACTAGAGGAATGAAGTGTTTGGAACTGTCGATATTATCTACGAGCACAAGTGAAGCCTCTGTCCGGCACTTCGTACGCCCGCTAAGATCACCCAAAGGTCGAAAGGAGATTGTTGTAAATACAGTGAATTAAAAAAATGCCCCAGGTGAAACGCCTCGATTCAAATCCCATATGCACAAGCCCGTAGATGCGTCTAAATTCCTTTGATTACATGCGTTCGTTCGGCGTTGAGTTGCGCAGCGTTTCGGTCGTGAGATTCCTTCTTGCACTGCACAGCATCACACACGTTAGCCCAGAGCTCTTCATCCAGACCAACGAGCCACCATTCCGGCTCTTCGGAGGAAGAAAGGGTAGAACTTACGTCTTCCAAGCCGTCGCACTTGTGGTCTTCGAGCAGGCGGTGAGTTCCACAGTAGTGGCCGTTACAGAAACCACAGTCCCCGATGACTCTCTGCGCCCCTTGCTTACAGTCTTTGTATGTGCAGCGGATCTTTTTGGGTGGCATACCCCCACGGAGAGGCATGGCCAGGTGAAGAGTTGCGTCTCGATTGATGTTATAGTCTGCCAAGGTACTCGATGACGATAGGTGCTTGCCTGCGTAGACGAGGCGGAGATCTGATTCTGGGAGGGAGGTTCGCACCGAGAGGAGCGTCGTGAGATTGTGTACCGATGCATTTGCTGGCACAGTCATGGGGAATGCTTGACATTGTGTTAGCTGGTGTCTTTTTTCGGGTTCTCTCCCTGGATCTCGCCCTTTGGGCTGCTCAGAGGATGGGGGAGGTGGAGACCTACTGTCTCCGGTAACGTTCTTGACGAATATCTGCATTGTTTCGGAGAGTTCTGGTGATTGCGATCGCGAGCTAGAGACGGAGGACGGCATGTTTGCGAGAACTTCGAGGAGTTGAAGGTTGTTGAGTAAGGAATGAGAAGGCGGTCTCGTGATGATGGTTCAAGATAAGGACGAGGTGAGGTCAGGTAAGTCAAAGCGTGGCGTGGCGTGGCGCTTGTTGCTGACGAGATGAGGCGAGGCGAGGCGATGCTTGATGGAGAGGATACCTAGCTGGATAGGTAGGTAGGATTCGAAGTTGCCTGCGTTGTGACTTGTTGGGGATGGCAGAATGTTTGGGTGGAACGGTTCTATGGAAGGGAGAGAGGGTTTGGGAACTGAATCTGAAGTCGACGTTGAGAGTTGGATGGGGTTAAGTTTAGTCTTTGTCCTCAGGCTGGGCTGAGTCAGTGAACTGTCGGGGTGGTGGGACTAGTAGACAATATAGATAAATAAATATATATATAAATAGATACATAGATGTAATTGAATGGAATGACCTGCCTGAGCCTGCCTGCCTACCTTACGTACCTAATTTGCCTAGAAGTGAAGGGAAGCATGGAGAAGGAGACCGACCGGTCACGCCACACCACACCGTGCCTCCGGGATCACGACACTACCGAGGTGTCTGTTTGTTATGCAGACCGAGTAATACCTACAAGCAACAACAATACCTTACCTACTATATAGATGCATACAATCAATCACAGTTTATTTTAAGGTGACAGAGCTTAAATAAGCGAGTATATTACAATACATTATAAAGTAAAGTAAAGTAAAGTAAAGTAAAGTAAAGTAAAGTAAAGTAAAGTAAAGTAAAGTAAGCTACTTTCATGTACAAGAACGTTCGTGATATCCTCTGCCCTATATCCAGGTAAATCTACCTTCCCACCTCTGTACCTAGGTATATCCGATCTCCTCCATGGTTCCTCATACTCTGACCGGTATTTATGTCGGTAACCAGAAGCGAGCTGGACTTGACGTTGGCTTCCGTTTCCTTTCCGCTGAGTTGATTGATGACCGCCGCCGCATCCGCTTAGCTGTCATGCACTGCCATGCCCTGCTGCACGGCACTGGTACTGTATCATTTCAGACCTCTCATGCGCATGCAGCCTTCCAGGATGCACCTGCTCTCTGCATCGCCAAAAGACAAGACAAGACAAGACGAGACGAGACGAGAGTCTCGAGCATCTCAAGGGAGAAGGCAAGCCGTGCTTCAGTCGAGGCCAGGCCAAACTCCGTCGTCCCCTTCCTCCTTTCCGCCCAACCCCATTCCGAGTTTCACCCTACTATTCGGCCACGTTTACAGCTGCCGTCAGTGAACATGAGTCGCGAGCTTGTCCTTGTCCGAGCCTCTAGGACAGGCAGCAACCTGTAGCTACTGCTACTGTGCTTCCTGTTGCAGACTCGATTGCAGTCCTCCATTCCGCCTTTCCCCTCGCTCATGGATTCCGGCCACGTTGATAGCGATAGCCGCATTGAGAGCCTGCTGACCGGTAACATTACGGAGAGAAACCGCAGACGCTCGCCGGATCCGGGCGCTGTTCGGCCCGGGATCCGGCCTGCACAGAAGCATAAGATAACGAAGTAAGGGACGTAGGTAGGTATAAGTACCTACCTTAGTTATCTCACCCGCACTATCGCTAATTTCACGCGTATGTGTGCATACCTTGATTCCCCCGGCAATATAGGTATATATATATATATATATAAATACATATTTACATACTAGCTAGTCTACCTCCTTTTCTGCTCAGGGCTCGTATACAGTCGGGGCAAGCAAGTGTCACGGGCAAGCAAAAGTGCTAAGTTCTACATGGCATTCTCTTTGACAAGTCACGTATGGACTAAGCCTGTCCCTGCGGCCACTCTTGGATTCTACTAACTGTACAGTAGCGACTGCTTCAAAGTTGTTTCCATCGTTTATCGAGCACATACGCTGAATAACAAGGTCGCTTGCTCAGTTCTGGCCAAAGGCCAGGTTTTCATTTATCGATTTAACCCCCTTTACTTAAGTCTATGCCATAAAATAAGGCGAGCACCTATCTACGGTTGAGAATGTCTGCCCGCTGGATTTGACAATTACTTGGTGTGCACTCTGTTCTTCGTCCACAGGTGATGTTTGCTTGGAAAGGGCAGTCTACATGGCGACCTTTAGGATGTGTCATCTGTGACAGAGTCTAGACCAGTTTCGGTTTTCATTATGAGGCTTCTTTACCGTGTTCTTTTACCCTTTGCTTCGATCAGTATATTTGTTTAGACAACCTCCTTGTCCTCTGGGGAGTGCTTCTGAAGCGATAGCTTGGTGCCAAAATCACTCCTCCTCTGGTACGATGCCATCACAGACTTGAGATTTCTTGAAAATCCTGCTGTGATGAAGTAACCTCAAACACAGATTTCGGTCATCCAGATGTGGGAAGCAGTCGTCTCTTTAAATAGAGAGCTTCTGGAACTGGGGGTGAGAACGATCTCCCTTCCCTTCGAAATGATCTCCCAGGAAGTTCAAAGAAAAGCACCGTGCACCTACTAAGCTCTGAAATGCTGCAGAGGTCAGCAAATTCTCATCTCTCCATGTCTCGCGAGAGGTAGAGCCCTCTTGAGACATCCAGTTAAATAGGAGATCAAAGGCGGTACCAGGACAGGGCGAGAAAGCATGGGACACCGCTTCCAACTCCGCAGAGTCTGAAATTCTTGACTGTTATCGTTTCGTTGTATTGAAGAGGTTGAAGAACAGTGCAATGAAATGTCCTTGGTGCAGGTGATTTTGCTCCTTATGCCGCAGGAAAGATGTGGCCGATCGTTTCGCGTGGCAGTGAGAAGATTGACATATTGGAAAAGCGAAGGCATAAGGCATTGGGGATCTTCATTCTCTGAGTTGTATAGGGGTCGAAGCAGGCGCGAGAACTGCTTTCGGCAATGGTCATCTCGCAAAGTAATCCATGTATTTCGGTTTAGTTCGGCGGCTGAGAAGCCACTAGCTTGACTCTCCAGGCATAACGGACGATACCCAAGTTTCAAATCGATCCTTTCCAGAAATACAAAAGTACTTTGCCACACTTCTCTCTGATATGGGTCTACAAGGGAGATCGAAACTTGCGTGTGCCTCTATAGCCCTGTATCATTTTAAGTCAGACGGCTGAGCAGTTACTGCACTTTACCATTTGCAATGGACAGATTCTGCAGGTATGCTGGAGACTGGGATTTTCTTCACACCCAATCTGCCCAGGTCCGTCGCTGAGTACCGTCCTTCAGCTGCCACGAACTTCCCTATATACCTGCCCGGTTCCTGCGAGCTTGGAGGAGCCATTGGAAGATCTATATGAGCGACCGTCGGCCCGTGCCAAGTCCAGCAGAGAAGAGGTCTAAGCTGAATGATAATTGGTGGGTATAAAAGCTTATAGCAATACTGTAGAACCAAAGAACTTACACCAAGCCAAGTTGCGAACAGGCTGTAGTATACCCTGCAACAGCCAAGTAGTTCGAAAATATGCTGTACAGCATAGTTTCATGTTTCATACGTCTGAGCCGCTTATCAACAAGAAGGCAATTGTGGCTGAACGAACGAATCTGGGAAAATGTTTAACATCGATATGGGATTTTCTCTATGTTGACCTATACAGAAAATGCGCACTAATACTGGCATCTGAAGTGACAAATCATTCCGCTTTCGAGTTCTGCCTCGGTACTTCACACTTACCGCTGGCGAAACAACAATGTCTGGCAATAGCAGTGCTCATTCTCATCACTACTCTCTCGACATCCCAAGTTCCTGTTGAGAGCTGACACTGATTCGTTTGACTGTCAATTTCAGGGACTGGACAATTACACAGCACAAAACTCCGTGCTCTGAGCACTCTGACTATTCCTACCTACTTTCACAATCGGACGAGTCTTCACTTGGCCAACCCCATACTGTAATATGCTTCATGTAAGGTCTCAATTACACGGTTTTCAATATCTAAATGGCATCTATACGTCACCTACCTCTAAAATACTAGCTACGTCAACGTGCAGTCGTGATTTTGCCCAGATTATCTCGCCCAAATATATTGCCAAGTTTTACCTCATCATCATGTTTCATGTTCGACAGCTCGATATTTTGCTGTTGGGAGCTTTTGGAATGGTTGCAGGCAGCGGTAAACGAGCACTATGATGTGAAAGCAAGGGTGGATTTATTAGAATCTCGTCGTTGGACATGTTTGTGTCAAGCTACTAAAGCAATAGGCACAGTAACTGAGGCTGCGATGCGCTTTATCTGCTGGAATAGAAACGGCACCAGGTGGAACATTCATACATAGCTTTGGGCAGGAATGTTTACCTACAATGGACTTGGGATAAAATTGTGCGAGCCGGTAAATGCTACAATGCGTTTCCTGTATTCATTTACTTGTATATTATACAACCTCGCTGAGTATCACATCTGCAGCCTTTTCACTGATCATATAGATTGGCAGTGCAATATAGAACCCTGGGATCTTGGGAAATACCGAAGCATCGGAGACCCTCAAGCCCTTTGTGCCTCTCACTCTGAACCTGGAGTCTAGGACTGCCATCTGATCTCCATCCGCCCCAATTGGACAAGTGCACGAAGCATGGTGCCCCCATGCCTCGTTCTTCACGAATTCATTCAACTTCTCTCCTGTCACATCCGGACCCGGCCAAACTTCCGTAAACACCCCATCGAAGGAGATGACATCCTTGAAAATGCGGCGCGAGAACGTCATACCCTCAACCACAGCCTGAAGGTCTTTGGCTGCTGCACTGTTGCTCGTGGTGCCTGAGTCGAAGTAGTTGAAGTTGATGAGCGGCATGTCGCGCGGGTCCGCAGAGCGCAAAGTCACTGTTCCTGCATTATTTCGACTGTGTGCCTTGAGTGTAATCCAAGCCCAGTGCTTCGCATCAAGCAGAGCGTCTCCTGAGTACCCGGGGTAGTAACCAATGAAGTTCGCAGGCGCACCCGTGATCAAGACATCATTGTCACCTGCTGAAGTTGACGAGTTCTGTACAATGGCAATTGCGATACCATTAGTTGCATATGTTCCTCTATCTCCTCCCGGGTTATTCTTCCACTTACTCAGACAAGCATCGTTTGAGGTTCGGAGGAATGTGCAGTCCTTGATGATTGCAAAGTCGCTGGTGGTCTTCCCAATCACACTTGTTTCGTATCGGTCTTGGAGATTGGTGCCGACGCCCGGAAGATCTTTGACAAGTGGGATTCCAAATGAGGCAAGTTCGTCCTTTGGACCGATCCCACTGAGTTTCAAGAGCTGGGGTGTATTGAAGGCTCCGGCTGCGAGAATGACTTCGCGCGTTGCGTTGACGCTTCCTGGGACACCGGAATCACTTGTGCTAGCCCGAGGATCAGCTCTGTATAAACTTTTCCCCTGGAGATATTTAACACCGGTAGCTGTTGTTCCCGAAAATGTTACCTGTTCTCGTCAACCTCCTGCCATTGTCATCCAGTGCCAAACAAGCCAGCTCACCTGAGTCACAAGGGTGTTCATCTGGATATCAAGGATGTACTTCCGAGACCCATCTGGATTAACTGCATTTGCAGTGCTTATGATGAACTCTCGTGGTCCAGCGCGTACTCCAGAATTGACAGCTAAAGGAATCTGAAATAAGCCCTGCTGCGCATCTCGGCCAGCTTGGCCCGAGTTCAGATCCCTTCCGAGAATCTGCCCCAGGCCCAGCAAAGTGCTGAGAACCGATGTAAGCCAGCTGTTACCCATCGCAGACCCGGCGGCAGCGATAAGAGAGATGATTTTAAGATCTGTGATTACCAACCCAAGGCTGGTCAAGCTGGTAGTTAGCCAGCCACTATATCCATGACCAATTGTCGAGCTCGGCGCGTATCTGGCGTTTTCGAGACGCTCGAAGTACTTGCGCATTGCACCCGGAGCCCAGGAATCATCGCCAGTGAGTTTCTGTATTCCGACCCAGTCACTTTCGTGCGGTAGGACGGTGATAAGGGCGTTGTGTGAGCCGCATCCACCAAGTGTTCCTGCTCGTGGGTACAGTACCCCCAGAGGTGTAGAGTTAGTTGGCGGGGTCGGGCTGCCGCTGATACCCTCGACGAACAGATCGCCTGAAGGTGTCTTGTAAGTCATTTTCGTGTCCTGTGTCTGTCTGGAAACATTGCTGTAGTGATTGACGTAGAAGTCCCATTTCATCGGAGCATACTCAGTCGAGGCCAAATTCAGCGCTGGGACCTGTTGCTGAAGACTCGAGCCCTGGTCGTCGCCAGCCTCAATCAGCAGCACCGAATGTCCTGCAATGGCTAATCTAGCAGCTAGAGGCCCACCTCCAGGTCCAGAGCCAACAACAACTACAGAGAAGCTCAAAATCAGTATGTATTCTCATATCCACTTTTGAAGTCATAGACGCTTTAGAACATATCAGAGGGGAAAAATTGAGACCCATTGGGAACATGTAACAGCAAATTCAAGCAAAATAGAATGTCACTTACTATATTCGTAGGATGGCAAGTACGTTGATGTAGCTCTAGATTGAACGTCAGGTGAGCTCTGGAAGCTCTTTGAAATTCCAGACCTTTGAGAAAATGTCAGTAAAAAATCGTGCCTCATCCTCGGCGAGATTCATACAAGGGCTTGGCCGAAACAGCAGTTGCCAGAGCCAGAAAAGGCACAAAGAAGACTGCAGTCACCATTTCGAGACAGATGGGTTCGAAGTAATGGAGTGGCCGACCAGAGAAGAAAGCGACTCTCCCCTATGTATTACCACCCATCAAGTCCAATTTCCCACCGGCAATCATTGTGCTCTTCTCCGTTAGGCATATTGGTCCTCCCGAACAGGGGATTTATAAAACTGCTTTGGGTGCACCCTGCATACATTGCCAGGCCTTTGGCAAGGGCGAAATCTATCTGGAGGTCGACTCAAATGGGTTTGCTCCGAGGGCTCGCTAAGTGCCAAATAGTTCTTGGAAAGTCAAATGGAAAGAAATGCCAGGGGCTCAGGACCCGAGGCGACTTGATTTCTGGCTGCTGCAAGCCTGCTCCACGTACGGGGTGAACCTTTTCCTATTTAGTGTTACTAGAAATGGCCTTCCATTCCAATTCTTGAACATTTCCGCCGAATAAAGTCACAGTCAGCTCGGTAAAGACAACTTTGTTTGTTTTCTGTATTGACGATCAAAAGCTACCATGTAAAGTAGGAGCCAGCCTCACGAGTCATTCAAACCCTGACGTTGAGTATTCCACGTACTCTGCGATGTGATTACCTGCCAATTAGAAAGCGTACGTTAGAGTGATCGACTGATCGTCAAGACCTCCCTCTCCAATGGCCCAAGTGCCTGAGGGCCTTACTATCCATCTCTCGATTGCAGAAAGGTTCTTGTTTTACCTAAAAGAACAGAACTAGACTAGGTACTCGTCTCTATATCGAATTCTCAGATCGCCTCTGTTGCCGTTCTTGAGAGCCTGTTGCAATGGGCTGGCTTGGCGTGGGCACCGCGCCTGTTTCGGTACCGGAGTCCGACCGAAAGGTGGAGACAATGCTTGTGCATCGCATCAACTGCCTGAGTCCGGACTCCTGACTGCCCAGCTGCAGTCAGTCCATACTCGTAGTGTGCATTAGAGATCCATAGTTCAGATCAATAATGGGCTCGTTCGGCATGCCTCTTGTCCGAGCAGACAGCCGTTTGGGGTCTCGCCTCCCTCATGTTGATATGTAAGCGAATATTACTGTATAGAAACTTAGAAAGGGGCAAAAAGGGAGACTCGCTTATTCGTGACGCACCCACCCCACCCAGCCATCCTCACCCTCGACACTCAGTCCAGCCAGTACTGCACCTACTCGTATAGCAGCAGCCTGGCCTGGCAGATAAGTTAGGGGCACTCTTCTGGCAGGGCAACTCCTAATTGCTACGGAGGGACTCCAGAGTACAAATCGCACCCTGGATTTCCAATCCCCGGACTCCATCTTAACTATCCAGTCTTCACAGACCTGGCACCGCAAGGCATGCCCATCTGTGCTTTCTCGTACTGTACTGTAATTTACTGTATCTGGCTCGGCGCCGGCTATTTGGTGGCGTTATGGTTACGAAAGTTCCTCGCCCTCTTCTAGCCCTGCCTCGCCCTGCACGCACACGGTCCGCTCCTGTTCTGTGCGGTGGCGATTTCAGCCGTCAACGGCACCATGAAGGTGGTGTGGTGTGGTTGACGGCATTTGTTGTGGCCCTATTCGTTTCAAGCCCAACAAGCGCCTGCTGCATCCCGTGTGTCGCCAATCATGATGCCAATCGTCGCCAAGAGACGGCAGCTGTCACGTCTCCGGAGTGTAGAAACCGCAAGTCCCCCTGACAGGATAGCTAAGAAGAGAATTTATATTGCCTCGATTGCCCAGGACGCCATCCGTCAGCTATGCTTAAGTATCGTGTCCCCGCTTGCCGTGAGCACATTGGGGACCGCACCTAGATCTTATGTTGTGCATCAGGCATCGCAGCATTCGAAATGAAAGCCGAGGGATTGTTTGTTGTTGTCAGCTGTTGGCTTATAAGTATCAGTTCAGTTGCTGCGCAAAGCTTAACCCTTGCAGACACTCCTTCTTGTGCTGTACGTATGAAACGACACCCAGATGTGTGATGGCGTTGCTAATGTAAATAGCTGGAATGCGTTGCCAAAGCACTTCCCTCCTCACCATCCAGTAACATTGCTCCTCTGGAAGATATAATTTGTCGCAATGTCACACTTCTGTCGACGCTCTCTATATGTGTGCAGACCTCATGCAAATACCAAGATCAAATCGGTAAGCGAATTAGTAGAGCTTGATCCATGTCTCTGCTAACAACCTTTCTGCTGCGAGTGAGGTCCAAAAAGAATTATGTCGCAGCATTCCGATCGAATCTCGTAGTTCGGAGATAATACTTCTTGTAGCAATCTTTTCCGGCGTCACATTCCCAACCGCTGGGCTCAAATTCTACACGCGGTGGTCCACAAGCCAGAGGCTTGACTGGGATGATTACGCTGCACTGATAGCTACGGTCAGTGGTCGATAGAGATATGGAGCACGTTGGTGCTGTGCTGAGTATCTCCACAGGTCTTTATGGCAGCCCTTGCAGCTCTTGAAATAGCAAGTAAGATTCACCTCATCCTGAATTGGTGATGACTAGTGCGATCTGACAAATTACGTTAGGTGCCAAACTTGGACTTGGGCAGCACTATTGGACCGTCTCTGTTCTCAAGGGAGTCTTGATCCTCAAGGTACGCACAGAAGGCACTCCATAGGAGAAAGACTGATCGTTCTAGTTCTATTATGCTGTTCAGATGTTTTACATCATTGTCCAAGTAACTGCTAAGATGTCTCTCTTGCTCCTCTACGTCCGCGTATTTCCACGAACACGTACAGCTTTGTGGAGCAAGCTTGGAATAGTCTTCCTGATATTTCACGGAACGGTTTATCTCTTTCTCGTCATTTTCCAGTGCACGCCAATTGCTTTTATCTGGGATCGGTCTCTCACCGGCAAATGTCTCAACCTGAATGTCATTGGATATAGCGGTGCTGTCGCAAGCATTCTGGAAGACTTCTTCATCTTGGTACTACCAGTTGCCGAGATTAGAAGCCTTCAACTGGGGAAGGGCAAGAAGTGGAACCTCTTTCTCATGTTTTCTATAGGCTCTTTGTAAGTCAGGATCAGAAGATCGTTATTCCCGGTATCTGGAAGTAGCACTTGCTGATCAAGAATACAGCGCTTGCGTTACTAGTATCGTCCGCCTCAAGTTTTTATCGGACTTCGCCAACTCTTTCGACGCAACCTGGGACCAAACAGATGTTGTCAAATGGTCTTTAATCGAGGAATTCGTTGCAGTGCTTTGCGCCTGCATCCCTTCCCTTCGAGCGTTCATCGTCCAGACATTCCGAACGATCAACTCTTCCGTCCGTACGATGACCAAGAGTAAGAATGCAAGTCAGCTGCGAAGTGGGGCACAGAGGCTGGATGACCACGATGAAACCAATTCATACCCTTTGTACAATGTCACCAAAACCGTCGGTGTCAATGTTGAAGAGAAGGGCGATGGTTTGCGGCGGCAAGGCAGCACAACCGCAATATATGCATTGACTGAGGACAGAAAATGAGGCACATGAAAGCGTATTATGATGGGCGTGATATCAAGAATTAGACACCCCAAAGTCTTCCAGAAGCAGAAAGCACAGAATATTGCGGCAGTTTTGAGGTCGAGGGGCATATCCTACCACGGGAATACTGGCCAAACGAATTGCGAAATCCATTTTATGGGAGTTTAGCAGTAACATGGCACCCTTGACTCTTCAAGCGCTCCAACAATTAGGCATAAGACTACTCGACGCGAGGTATGATGGTGCACCGCACGACAAATTATGGGTTATCTAATGAATCGAAAATTAATAATGAAATGAGGCGGTTAGATGACATGAGCGCTCGTGGAGATGCACCCTACACTTGCCGAGATAGTATGATGAAAGTCGTAAGGCTACTGTCACATCATAAAATGGGAGAACCTTGAGTCCATTCTATTAGACAACGGATGTGTTTGGAAAGAAAGGGATATACCGCTCCAAATGCAGACTCCATGGGTCCAAAAACTATTGCACCCAAAATGCACGCATACCAGCCCCAATCTGATGCAGGAAACGCTACACACGCTCCAAAATCATGATGTCGTTAATGTTTCTTGTATTTCTGCATTGTGATTAGTGGCCGCACTTCTCAACAAGGAAATCAGAACTCACCGCCTCAGCTCTCTGGAGATGAACCGGGTCCAGCGAATTTGTGGCACCCATTAGAATCTGACCTCCAGCCCTGGCAAAACCAATGGCAGGTCGAAGTATCACTGTTGGGGCATGCTTTCTGACCGCTCGCAACGCTCCCGCTGCATTCCCCCCTTCCATCACCTCACCTGGTACGGCTATGATAGCATCCCTTGCTACTATCAAGTCACGCTGTAAGCCTGCATACCCGCCACGAAGGCCTTGGAACACGCCAACTGGTTGATTGGCGTAAAGACTAATCTGCTTGTTTTCACCGTCAGAATCATCTCTCTCGGCGCTGAGTGCTGAAGATTCTGTCACAGGACCAAGAAAGTCTTCCGCGCCCTGGAGGACTGTTTGCACACCAACAGCAACCTTTGCCCCTAGCTTGACCAGCTCGGTGCCAGTAGACTTGACGAATGCAGCAGCTCCTTTGGAAATTCCTCTGACGATCCGTCCATCTTTCCTGTACTCGCGCATGGGTACTACAACTAGATGCCGGAAACCGCCACCAACATTAACAAGTGACCTAACAGGTGCAAGCCCAGCTAAAATTCCAGGAAGTTGGTTTCTTTTGATATCTGGCATCCAAATGTCGTTCAAGCATTTCCCCAGCTTGTCAAAGCCCGAGATGCCATAGATGATAGTATGGCGGAGTACCATATCTGCTTCGTCTAATATTAAAAAGTTCATGAATTCTGTTGTGTGTCCGGAGCGAAGACCGGCATAATCAACCCTCTTGGGTTTGAAGTCGAGTTTCACTTTGATGGAGTTGACTTCCACTCTCTGGAGGAAAGGCAGATCGCTTGGAGATGTATGAGTGGGAGCAGAATCGTCCTTGAATTCGAAAAACCTTGTGATGAAGTCTAGCGCATCCTGATCCACGTGGAGTCGAAGTGGGAGGACTGTTGCCTTCAGAACAATCTCCGCGGCAGCTAGTTCAGGGATCGGCTTCACATTGAGAATCTCAATGTGTATCATGTTCGTACCGGTTTCTCTTTCGCCAGCATCTTGCATGTAAGTAGCAAATTTTCTCCAGGTCGAAGTCGGAACATGGTCAAAAATCTCGAAGTCGTGTACGCGAATGTCAACTGAGCTTTGGGTCTCCCCACTTCCAGGAGGGAATGAGACAAGGTCGACACTAACTCCTCGGAGCTCAAAGGTGATTTTGTGATGCTTGCTTCTCTGCAGATGCAACTTTTTGGTCTTCGTGTTGCGTGGCCCCCCTTTGCTACTCGGAGAAGAAGATAGCGAAGTTGTGGCAATAGACTCGGTGTCCGTTATATTGTCATTTAACTCCTGGTTGATTGCGGCTGCCAAATCGCGGGGATCACGATTCGCTGGTATACCAATATATATTGAATTGAATAGAAAGTCGCCAATGACAGTTTCTTCATCGTCAATATCTTGGTCAAACGTTGGCCGTCGCTCATTTCGCGACCTCTTCTCGATTGCCTTGGACTCTACGTCTTGGACGGCCATTGAGATCGCATCGCGAGTATGCTGCCAATCATAGCCATCGAATAGGTTCCAAATAAAATGGACGTCGCGGATGCAAACTTTGAGCGGGCTTTTCCGGACCTTGAAAGCGTTTGATCGATCGTAAGTGTTTTTCGCAGAGTTCCATCGATGTGCTGTGCCTTCCAAGACTGAGCCAGTTCCAAAATGATCCTCTTGAAACTCGAGTTCTTGGTTCTCCTGAACTTCCAGAGATTCAGCGATACTCTCCAACAATACGCCATCATGAGTATCGCGACTGGTAACATGCGTGGAAGCGACAGAGATCCCTTCTTCACCCAGAATTTCTGGGTCGTAGGCTTCCGATACCTTCCGGTAGTAATGAGAATCAAAGTCAAAGTCTACGTCCTCACCAGGAAAGTCTTCTTCTACACCTTCACCAAGCCCAAAGTCATCATCAAAATCGTAATCTCCCTCTGCAGTGCCGAAAGCATCCCCAGACAAAGATGCAAGCAAGTCATGCACAGGGATTACCTTTGTGCGGTACTTCGTCTCCTTGTTTGGAAGTGTCGGAGGTGATAGATTGCTGAGTACAGCAATAAGGGTCTGTGTAGAATCGGCGCAGGACTCGAGCACGAAAAGATCGTCCCGAAGCTCTACATCAAGTGCCCGTTCGCCGTCTCCGCTTGTGGACATTTTTATGAAAGCTTTTGCAGATGATATGTAACTAACGGAGACGTATCCTGTGGCACACAGATCTGCAACCTGTGTGCTTCCACCATCGAACGAATACCTGGGTGCATTTGCACCTGCTTGTGCTGATGTGAGATGAGCGGCGTTGTCGACTACCAGAATGGAAGCTTTATTCATCTCCATCGAAACGCTCGCGTTTTGATCTTTCGGTAGGATCGCCTCAACATGAGCCTCCGTCAAGACGACCAAGACTTTGGATGGTAAACTTAACGGATTCATCCCCAAAATGCAGTCCCGCAGTACAATATCAATTGCCAGTGGCTTGGATGCACCGGATTTTGCCACAGTAGCTCCTCGTGGGATGGTGCTACGAGTCTGGTTTGGTTGAGTGAAGTCAGTGAGTGTCGCCACAGATGCTGTCAAGCTGGCAGAGATGTCTTGGGTCGTTGCATTCTCTGCAAGGCCAAGCAGCGTCATTAGCGTGGGCACACGATATTCAAGTCTCAGGTTCCAAAGCTTGATCTTGACCACAGGTTCCATCTCATCGCCAATCAGTCTTGCCATGAGAGCAGGGCTCCTATCTCTAGGCTCTCGTAATCCTGGGTCTGTGGCAATCCCAATCAGATCCTCTATTGTGTTTCGCCGAGCCGATATGCCACCTATACTGAGAGCAATGAGGGACGGGAGAGTGATCTGGGCTATTTCGACGTCGGTGCACGAGAGCTGGACAGTACCCACAAGACCCCCCACATCGGCACTGACATCAACGTTCCGAACCATGATCAAAGAGAGTAGACCTGGCCGGTCATCATCGGGAAGATACTTTGCAACAGTAGCGAGCCTAGAGACCTCTTCGCCTAGTTCGGGGAGATAGCCAAGCTCATTTAACTTGCTGATCTGGGTCTGGATATTCTCGACGGTCAGACGCACCACAGCGCCCTGGTTACGCTGACGAAGAAGCGTATCGAGTAAGATATCGTCATCTTGGTCATATTTGGCCTTTGAAGGGGTAATAAGAGACAGGAGGCGGTCTAAATCGGCATCTTTTGGGGTTGCGAGGTACTCAATGCGAGTGGCGGCGATGTCCATATTAATTGCAGGCTCCTCGTGAGACCGTTTGAGATGTGGACCGGATAGTCTAATACGTTGGATGAAAACTCCAATGCCCTCGTCGCGGCTTACCACTTTGACGGCAGAAGTCTCGACACCAATACTACACTCTGTGCCGACCAAGTCAAGAATAAAGCCACCAAACCTTACATCTGCTTTATTCTGTGCGTTCAGGGATATATCGTCAGGTCGAATAGGTGTCTCAAAACGTACGCCGCGTGGTATTGGCTTACTAGGACTAGTAGCGGTAACAGTAGCATTTGATGCAATGGAGCTGCCCAGGTTCAAGACACCGCTCAGGCCCCCAAACCAATTGAACGTCTCGTCTAGTCTCCGGAGATCAATTGAAACATGCAAAGGGAGAGTAAAAATCTCAAACCTGGTAGTATGGGCAGTCTGGGTGATGTTCAGAGACACATCGATTCCATCAGAAGCTTTGAGGTCTTTGACAGAAGCTCTCATCTGGAGGGTGGCATCAAACGATACAATGTTCTCCTGCGCATAACCAAAGATGAACTTTTTCAGAGTGATTGCGGTTTTCGTGACCTCCCTCGACGTTTGTGCTTGGACATCAAGTCCGGTGAGACTCATTCGCAAGAGAACATCCGGCGATGGCGTTTCCGAGAACTGTTCTACAGTGGGTGGTGAACGTGAAGACCCCAAAACGCCGTCGAGACGTTCTAAGAACTTGACTGAGATATCCTCGAAACCAATGGTGAGCCTCCGATCATGGGAACCCAGTTGTGGACCAGGACCCATGGGTTGCGCCTCTGTTTTGAAAATATCTTTGAGCTGAGCAACCAGTCGGCAGACAAGCTTTCCGATTGCAATGTCGAATTGAACGAGCAATTTTCCAAAAGCTACCTCAATAGCATCATTATCTTCGGCACTCTGTGTAGTCTGCATGTCCCCCGTCTCAACTGCCTGGGGTTGGGGTGTCCAGGAGCTGGGCAAGTGCGTAGAAAATGCCCCTGGTACATTTATTGACGTATATTGCGATGCGAAATTCTGGTTCTCGGAGACACTACTGGTGGGTAGCTCTGAGCTGGCTTCTGATGAAGCTGCACCACTTTCGTGGCTGATAGCTGGAAAGTAGACATTTATGTGATCGAGGCTAAAGATCGACTTTGTCAAACGTTTATATTCGTCGGGAGACGCTGCGGACCCCTCTGACGCATCGCTTGAGCCCCGGCATATATCTGGGGACCCTTTCTGAGCAGTAAAGGGCAGTCTCCCGAGCTTCGGTGGTCCCAAGTCTTCAGTCTCCAAAGAATCTGGCTGCAGCTCCGAGGGGCCAGCATGGCGAGCATGTTCGAGGTTGTCACATGCGCTTCCTTCCTCCCCACCTATGGAAACTGGGCTGTGAGGCCTGGGAGGTCGCTCCTCGCTGCCGCTGGAACGTGCCCATCCACCGGGGACTTTGTCTGTCGAGGAGCTGTGAGACACAGCGCTCATATACATGCTTTCAGCATCCTCATGACTAAATAGTTGAGACTGCGCAAGATCCTCCCCCGCTGGAGGTGTGCCGTTGTCATACTCGTCTTCTCCATCACTGTCATCAACCCCAACGTCCCCGGCGTTCAAAGGCTGGCTGCTTGGAATGTCACCTCTGTGAGTTGGTGGCAGGTCTGTATGGAGAGATGGTTGAGAGTGCGAGATTCGGTCATGTGAAAACCTTGGGTGAGATCTTGTAGGCAATATAGTTGAGGGAAACTTAAAGTGAGGCGAGTCTTTTAGGGTGAAATCGAAAACATCGGGAGCGACAACTCCAGGGCCGAGAACCGGCATGTGTATCGAAGCCCGTGGCGTAGATGAATGGGACATGACGCGAACGTTGGACGAATATTGTTGAGACATGGACTGTTCCTCATCCATATACTCGCTCTCTGCAATCCGATCCCGAAATGCAGATTCTCTGCTTTCGGTACCACCAACCTCACTGAGATCACCACGTCTATTATATGTATTTGATGTCTCATCGTCTTCAGGGGCGTCCTCAAATCTTCCGCTATCGCTGGCAACCACGGATCCAGTGATGGATCGCAAGCTAGACGCATTTTCAGTTAACGACGCCATGGAATCACTGCCAGAATCAGCGAAACCTCGGGCAGCCGAAGATCTCGAATCAAATATCCGATGTGTGCTCTCATGTATACCTGACTTAGTCTTGGAACCTGCTTTACTGCCACCATCATCAAGCATGTCAGAATGCCTTGCTGACGGCGAAGACAGGGCAGATGATCGGGCAAGAGTCGAAAACAGATTTGCCTCTGAAATTAGAAATCCCCTGATATTGGACAGAAAGACAAGTCGTGTCCCTTTCCTGTAGGGTGGCTGAGAAGGTCGTTCATTGCCGTCAACCTTCTCCAATCCATGAGTGACGCCTTGAATGTCAATATCTTCTACTTTTAGTTGGAAAGTGACAGTATCTGCTTGGTTGGCAGCCGTCCGTTTAGATGGCTCTGGAGGGATCTCAATATCCAGATTGACCGTGATCCCACGAATCCTGACTTGTAAACGATCCACAATGCCTTGTATGAAACTGGCCATAAAGTTTGGCAGAGAGAGCGCAGTACCTGTGCCTACTGGAATCTCTCCATCGTCACTCAGCACTGACGAGTCTCCGAAATCTTGTGTTTCCGATAAAATTGCAGCTTCAAACTCTGCCCTTTCTTCTTCCGGTTCAGTTTGCAAAAACGATGCGGCAAGGTCGACTGCTGTTGGTACAACAGGTCCCTCATCTTCATGAGCTGTACCTTCATATGTCCCTCGAAACTTGTGGGGCTGTCGTGTGCTAGGTGTAGGCGGTCGCTTTCTTGAACGATCGTGATTCGTACTAGATGATGGGTGTGCTGTGCCCGTTTCTGACCTGGACTTGACACGTAGAAGACTCTCGATACCATCTATTTCAATGATTATGGGGCTGCTGTAGATATCCACAGGTATGGTGACGCGTAATAGGAGGAGTTGAGCGTTTACAAGTTCGAGCGAAGGTGGTAAGTGCAAGAGACCTTCTAATTTCTACCAGCACATACTCATGAGCAAGAACACTGGAGTAGGAGCACCGGAACAGAAACTTACCTTCATTCGCAAAGCAACATCTCTAAATTCGAAGGTACTGTTCTTACCCCATGCTATATCAAGATTCTGCAAGTCCAAGGCATCGGTATCAAGAATCTCAATCCTTGTGAGCACATATTGGAGCAGGCGCTTCGGCATCGAGGAGGTCTGAAAATACGACTGAAAATAGGACGCCATAATGAGAGGCTTAATGCGTTTGAGAGTAAGGTGTAGGGTATTGCAGTGTCTAAAAGTACAAGAGGCGATGCCCTGATAGTCACCTCCTCGTAATGTCGAACGGGCTTGGTAGCCTCGCGTTCATCGTTCGGCAGATGTCGCAGTACTGTGAGCAGTACAGCTCTCGCACGGCTTCCAACAGTGTGGATGGACTCTGGTCAAGTACTCAGCCGTTGAAGATCATTTGGTTAAGCAGCTGGCTCGCGGTGGTGTTGTGGCGGGCAGAATCTCGCAACTCGTCGTCACAGTCACTCTAGCCCTTCACGCGATACATCCAAGGTGTGTGTGTACTCAGACACTGTACAGTAGCGTACTCACCCCCAATCTGATATCGATAAGACAATACCTTAGGTATCTTCGCGGCCGCACTAGTTTCTGTCGGGCCGACCTCGGAACATGACGGGACTTGACTTCAAGCGAGTTCAAGGTCACTCACTGGCTTTCTCATGATTCGCTCGGGTTTTCTACTTCCACATTGTAAGGCTGTTAGTTAACAACGATACTTCAGGAGCCATACAAGTACAAGGCAGATGTACGTTCAAGGGAAGGTTCATGGATACATTGGCCTCCGGCTCCTCCAAAGGTGACAAGCCAGCAAGCGCAAGGCTGTTTGAAGTCAACAAATTGCTGTAAAGCCCAGGTCTTGAGCGTGGCGAAACTTGAGGCTGACTCGTAGACATGTGCTTGTGATCGAGTCCTCGAGATCCATGCTGAGTTCAGTAAATATCCACGATGGGAGCTAAGTACAAGTCACGATCCCTGGAAATCCTACGTTTGAGTGTGCCCGTATTACCTAATGCGCGTAGGTATAGTATACTACAGTGATTGGGATGACTGCCAGCGTCTCTGTTCCTTGAAGAGTGGCTCACTACCACTACTCAGCGACGAGACGAGACAAACCGAGAACACAGGTCTAAGCAACTTTCAAAACCAGTCTACTAAACCCTGTTGATCGTGGCTAGCAACCTACTCATGTTTCTAGTTCATGTAACCCACGTCTTAAGGCTACAGAGGGAATAATTGCACAGAGGTTCCACGTGCAGATCTGCCGAAGTCTTCCATCTGCTTGTGTTTTGACTCCATTTGAGCAAATATCTACAACCAGGAATACCAGCCTTTCCTCGCCTTTTTCTCTTTCAAGCCGCTAACTGTTGAGTGACCCCGAGTCAACTTCAGTTGGAACTACTAGTACCTTACCTATGCTTTTAGGGTGGCTCGGGTGGGTACCTCGAGCACGGACAAGTTTCTCTGTGTCCTGTAATGTAACCACGGCTATTGGTTCCGTGGACCTCGGTATCTGATTGAGGTACAATTCCCCAGATCGTCCAGGTTGGGCCAGCCGTGCGAAGTGGAATCCACATTTGAATACCTCTTCTCGTTCCAAAATATAATCCTCTGGGACCAGATTGTATTCAAACCTTTCTATGTACATCTCCCTGTCATCTCTTCCCAGAGTATCAATCAGACACCATGCCCCACAAAACTCTTACTCGTGACGAGGTTGCCACAAACAATACCGAGGACTCCCTGTGGTTTGTTATCGACAGCAAAGTCTACGATGTCACTGATTTCCTTGATGCGCATCCTGGCGGAGAAGCAGTGCTAAAGCAAGGTCGGTCGACTAAGCGTGCCTCGAGTAGTAGATAATAGCTCACCACAACTGCAGTTGCTGGATCCGACGCCACGGAAGCTTTCTACAATCTTCATCGACAAGAAGTTCTCCAAAAGTACTCGGACCTTTGCATCGGCACTATTGATGGCGAGAAGTCAAAGGTCATTGAACACAAACCGGGAGACTTAAGCCCTGTTCCCTATGCAGAGCCAACATGTTAGTGTGGTGATGATTTCGAAGCAATGTTACCTATTCTTGGTAGACTATGATCGATCAGCTGCTTACGTCTCTATTATCTAGGGCTCACGCCACAGTTCAAGAGTCCGTACTTCAAAGACAGCCATCGCAGATTACAGAAAGCCATGCGAATATTTGTCGATACTGAGGTGTACCCCGTTGCACAAGAATGCGAGAAGACAGGAAAGCACATTCCCCAGGAGCTTATCGACAAGATGTCCAAGAAGGGCATATTGCACATGCGGCTGGGACCCGGAAAGCACCTAAATGGCGTCGATTTGATGGATGGTGCTGTGAAGGGAGAAGAATTCGACTATTTTCATGATATGATCGTTGGCCAAGAAATGACAAGGGCTAATGCAAGAGGATTTCAAGACGGAAATTTGGCAGGTATGACTATCGGTCTCACAGCAGTCTTGCAATTTGCGAACAATGAAGCGTGGAAGAATAAGATTGCTCAAGAAGTCTTTTCTGGCAAGAAGAAGATCTGCCTGGCTATTACAGAGGCCTTTGCTGGCTCTGATGTTGCGGGAATTCGAACGACGGCGGAAAAAACACCAGATGGGAAGCATTACATCGTTAACGGCTCCAAGAAATGGATCACAAATGGGGTGTTCTCGCAATATTTTGTTGTTGGCGTGAAGACTGACAAGGGCCTTTCTGTTTTACTCATTGAGCGAGGCCCCGGGCTGGAGACCTCCGCAATCAAGACGAGTTATTCTGCTGCTGCTGGAACGACATTCATTACATTCGATAATGTCAAAGTGCCCGTAGAGAACCTCTTAGGTGTCGAGAACAAGGGAATCCACGTCATATTGTCAAATTTCAATCACGAGCGTTGGATGATGGTCTGTGGAGTTACTCGGATGAGCAGGTCTGTCACATGCATGCATCAAGAGCCAAATAAGATCTCTGAGTGCTAATGGAACATAGACTTGTGACTGAAGAGTGTATGAAATGGAGCAACCAGAGGCTGGTGTTCGGAAAGACCCTTATGGACCAACCTGTTATCCGCCAGAAGTATGCTTCTTTCGCGTCTGGAATACTGTGTTGAAGCTGACCATCTAGGCTCGCCAAAATGATCGCACACTGTGAAGCAAATCAGGCATGTAAGTATTGGTGGTGTTCATTATGGCGATTGGATATCTCAAGATATCGTTGAGAATTATTTAATCCCCTTCCCCCCAGCCCTGACCACATCCCCTTTCCAGCGGTGAAAATCCTAACATAACTGTTTCTTAGGGCTAGAGAATATTACATACCAAATGACTCTGATGCCATACAAGCAGCAATCTACACATCTTGCTGGCCCTATTGGTCTGCTGAAGATGTTTGCCACTCGCTCTGCGCATGAGATTGCCGATGAGGCTGTTCAGATCTTCGGCGGTAGAGCCTTGACGCAGACGGGAATGGGTAAAACAATTGAAATGTTCCACCGGTATGTGAAAGGACATGGATTTTGCCTTGGCGAAAAGGTACATACTAACTGGATCAAGGACCTACAAATTTGATGCAATTTTGGGTGGCGCGGAAGGTAACATTCCCCCTTTGCCTAATTGAGACAGTACTAACATGACTACAGAGATTCTAGGTGATTTGGGTGTTCGGCAAGCAGTCCGTAACATGCCTCGTAGTATGCTGTGAAAAGGGGAGCGAGATGTGCAGCCATGGATGATGGATGTAATGGTAGCTCCTGAAGGCCACAAGTGAGCTGATGCCAAGGAGTCCTATAATGATGGCGTTGTAGAGACACGGTAATGACATTTGGACGTCCGAATCAAGTACTTTTTCTCGGGTTTCAACTGCCGGTCTTCCGGAGTGTCCTGATTGCCAGATGTCTGATAAAGCTGACGCAGCCACCTGCCGTTCTTGACTGCATTTTCGAGATGCTGAACAGAGTACAGCTATAGTTCCCTACTCCATTTGGACAACAGAAATCTGTGATTGGTGCAAATTGCCTCAAGGTTGGAAGCGAGGTGGTTCTTCCCTTCTAGCAATGGTCCCCACTGCCAGGAGTGCATGATTCTCCTCCTTAGCTGGGAAACGAAAGGTGGTAACGAAATCAGCTCGCTAAACCTTGGGGACGAGGAGTGAAGGTTTATACATAAGAACTCGCAGCTTCTCTGCGAAGAGCAAACCACTGCAGAATGAGTAAGCATCAGGGCTATGTTCGTAGGGTATCAAGATTCGAGGCAAGGCATAATAGAAGGCGTACTGCCTACAGTGCCCTATAGCTCTACAAAATGTGTTTGGCCCCTCTTCCTCGGCTGTCGATCAGCTGTCGCGCGAGAAGAGGCGGACGAATCCGTGGGGTAAATATGTGAATACAGGTTGATGCTCTTGAGATTTAGGATTCTAAGACAGTATACCGTCGTTTGAGGTGTTACTTAGGATACCTTGTAGGCCTGCATTAAATACCGAGAGTGAGTGGGAAAGGACGTTTTCGAGCCTATTGCACTCAATTGACGTTGATATAAGAATTCCTTGGGCGTCGCATCGGAGGTCGTGCTTTGGAAGGATCGAAACAGCCTCTAGACAGAGAAAATATCATCTTTTAATTAAACTCAATTTTTAGAAATAACCAAATAACTACGCCTTATATAGTAAAACAAATCCCGGGAATCGATTCCTAGAGGCTTCTTACTCCTATAGTACTAACTTCAGGTTCTCCTTAGCTTATTATAAGTAAGAAAAGTATAGATAAGAAAATTCATATATTAAACTTTAATAAGAAAGCGTATTAACTTAAAGTAGTATATAACTTAGGAGCTAAATATAAGGTTAGTATACCTTATAGAATAGTAATCTTATTCTTAGACTTAATTATTACTTATTTTAAAGTAGTAAAGAAATAAGATAAGTAAGATATAGTCTAAAAGGTAGTCTAGTAGCTCTAAGTTAATATTATAGCTTAGTATAAGTAATAGATTATATTACTATATAAACTACTTAATAAGAGTAACTCTCTAGCTTAAGAGATATATTCTATTATAACTATAGGACTATAGGTATATTAGAGGAAATAATTATACGCGTTAGTAGCTAATAGCGGAATCACTATAAGAAAAGCTACTATAATATCTTTTATATCTATAGTAAGAGCCTCCTAAGTTAATAATATTACTATAAGGGAGATACGACTCGCTATTAATAGCGAAACTATAAAGAAACTACTCCGAGACTAGCTTAAGCTAAATAAGTATATTATTAAGTAAGCTAATATTACTATTACTAGTATATTAAAGAACTATATTAGCTATAGTAATAATAGTAGTTAAGTTACTACGTTAATACTAGCTACCTTACTATAATAGGTAAAGTTAGTAAAGCTAATATATAGTAGAGATATCTTTATATATACTAAGAATATAGCTATAGTAAAAAGACTAATCTATAAAGAGAGGGAATAGTAAAGCTTCCTAAGTAAAGAGGTAGAAGTAATAGTACTAATATAAAGTATAATAGTATTAAGTATCTTAATTAAAAGTATAGATATAATAAACTAGGAATAAACGATTAATACGCTATTCTATAATGACTCGAACCTACTATACTTAGTAAGCGCTATTAAGAGAGTAAAGTAGCTTTTTAAAGTAAAGCTAGGAAAGATATATAATATAATAGTAATAGAATTATATAGTAAGGAAATCGCTAATATATATATTATACTATAGAGAATAATCTAAGAGAGCGCCTCAAAGGCGACCTAATAATATAGCTAAAAAGCTTAAGTAGTATAATACTTTAACTACTATAGCTTTAATTATATAGTATATATATATATACTACTATAAGGAAGTATAGCTTCTATAGATCGAAAGAGCACTAGACTAAGGAATACTCTGAACTAAAAGTTACTACTATATATAAGTATAGTAACTATAAGAGTAATTACTTAATATTCTATAGAGAATATAAGTAGTAGAAGAAGATTATAAAGAGAGTAGTATAAGAAAAGTAATAACTAATAAAGGAACTACTATTTCCTAATACTCTAATACTAATACTATGGGTATTAGAGAGAGGTAGTAGATAGTTAACTCTTCTACTAGTAATACTAATACTATTATACTAGTAATAACACTAGAGTTAATATCGGAGACTAATAGAGGGGATACTATAGATATAGATAGAAACTAGAGCTTACTAATCTTTAACCTCCTAAAAACTCTAAGGTAATATATTCACTTTAAAATACTAGAGAATATAGAAAGAGTATTTAGAGAATCCCTAGCTCTTATAGTAGCGGACTTAGAGCTAGCCCCGGAACTAAGAAGGATACTAAAGCTAGTAGCTTATAAACTCTAGAGCTCTTTAGTTAAGCCTATAAAAGAAAAGGAACTAAGTAATAAGTATACTATAGTAATAAGGCTTAAGATTATTAGTAAGTTTAAAAAGCCTTAAAAAAGCCTTATAAAGACTATATAAGACTACTAAAACTCTAGAGACTTATAGACTCTGAAAGAGATAAAGACTTTAGCTAAGAAATTAATAACTTAATTATTAAGAGTACTATAGTTAATAAAGTTAACTTAAAAGGAATAAGCTTAAGGGCTAAATTAAGAAGAAGTAGAATCTAATATATCTACTAACTCTATTATAGTATTATTAGAGGCTTAGTTAGTATTATTATTAGGCTCTATAGGTATAGTTATATAGTAGAAGACTCAGAATTCTTGCTAATAAGTATATATTAATATAAAATACTTTTTATTCTATAGTATAATATATAGAAATTATATAACATGATAAACCTTCTACTACAAAACAAGAAAACTTAAAAGTATAATATTATTATAATCTAAGAACTATAGCTTAATAGTTATAATAAGAGAGCTACTTATAACTTATCCTAAGGATAATTTAAAGCTTACTTAGCTAATGCTAAGAGACTACTTATTAGCTTCTTTATTTATAGCAAAATCTACCTTAGCTTAATCCGTGTTATAAGAAGAGGACCCTATATAAGCTTAGTATATATTATAGTTAAGTTAAGATATATAATAAAGATAATTATAATATATATATATATATATATATATATTAGTATCGTACCGGTAAACAAATAATAAGTGTATATCGATATATATTAAAATCTAAGGTTTAGTTTAAAGGTATTTAAAAAGTATATATTATAAAGAGTATCTAAGGGTTAGAATATATATTATTTCCTAAATAACTTCTAGTTTGTATCTGAAGGTAGTTCTTCTCTTAATTAAGATTACTTATCTCTTTTAATTACTCTCTATACTTCTATAGTATAAGTCTACGAACTAATATTAGTAAAACTTCTTTTAGAAATAAAAGGTTTCTAATAACTATAAAAGGAATAAAATAGAGAATATAGATATAATAAAGTAATAAATATCTAACTTATATATATTAATAGCTAGAATATCTCCGGTTACTATCTAAAAGTACCTCTTCTATTAAGTAAGATTATAAATAAATTATAATCTATTATTAAATAATATCTTGGAATATAAAGAATATATATAAACTTATAAAGAATTAAATAATATTATTATTAAGTTAATATAAAGTTCTAGGAAATCAGAAGACTAATATTCTATCTAATAGTAGTTAATAATATAAAGGTAGAAGATAATAATAATAGCTAAGTAATAATAATAAATAATATTATATTATATCTAAATTAAGTCTAAATCTAATACGCTTATTTATATAAAAATAACTTTCCCCTTAAAAACCTTCTCTTTTCTTTATTAAACAATAATAATAATAACTATAAGTTTAGAATAAATACTATTTACTTTAAAGATTCTTATTAATTATAAGATTTCTTTAAAAGATATTAAATAAATAAAATAATTTAAGAGTAATTATATCTTATCTTAAGATATAATATAGTAGTAGAGTTTTTTACTAATATAAATTAGTACTAATTCCCTACTCTTCTAATGCTTTTTTAATTATATTCCATATATAATACTATAGATATATTAATTATTAGAAGAAAGTTAGTAAGAGACTATATAAATTTAAGAGTTCTAATAGCTTAAAGTAATAGTATTATATTAAGAATAAGAATAAATACGAACTTATAAGTATCTCTTTTTAAAATCCTATTTATAACTCCTTTAATTATAACTCTAAGTTACTAATAAAAGTAGATCTTAGTTTATATAGCTAATAAATATTATACTTTTACTAATACTCTTACTAGTAAAGACTAAGTTATTATTAAAGAAGCTACTATTACTCTTTAGAATATTATAACTATTACTAAAGCTTTTATACTAAAGGATATACTATTAGCTATATTAGTTATATTAGCAGAGATATATACCTTATATAAAGAAATAGTTAGAATTATAAAATAGAATACTATAAGTATTTCCCTTTTCTTAACTAATTTTTCTTATTTCTTTTTATAAGATATAATTTAATAGCTTATATTATAAGAGATTCTTATAGCTTTATAGTATTTAAGAACTATTAATAGGAAGCAGAAGGCTCTACTAAGAGGTCTAGCTATAATAAAGCGTTATAAGTTAAAGATAAGGACTTATAGTACTTTTAAAGATAATTCGAAAGAAGATTTAGCTAATAGTTATAGTAATTCTAGTTCTAGTTCTAGCTCTAGTAGTAGTAATAGCTTAAGTAGTAGTTTTATAGTAATTAATTAGCTCTTTAAAGAAAAGAAAAGTAGTAATAATACTTTAGTACTTAATTTAACTTCTTTATTTCTTTTTTCTTAAGAGAAAGAAGAAGTTACTAGAGTTAGTAGCTCTAGCGAGAATAATATATAAAAGTAAGAAGGTTCCGGCTTTATTTTAGATTAGCTTTATAATTAGTTCTTTATAATAGTATCTTCTTTATACTTTTTATATAAGAGTAGCTCTTTATAGTAAAACTAGTAATTAGTCCTTATTAAAGTATTATTATCAAGCTACTTATTAGCGCTTTAAATTAGAGAGTAATTATCTTAAAATAAAAGTTATTCTTATTGTTATATCTTACTTTATTATAAAGAAAGAAATAAGTAATAAAAGAGAGTTATAAGGAAATTAATATAGGAAAAATAATCGAATATATTAAAACGCTTTTATTATAAGTCTAAATTAACTTTAGTTAACCTCTTAATTTACTTTTCTACTTTTACTATTAACTAGTTAGTATTAATAAACTATTAGAGAGCTTTATTTAAACTAGCTTTTATTATAATATTAGTAGAGTTACTTGCTCTATTAATCTATTATATCTCTATTAGTTCTTTATACTTATATAATTAATAAATTATTATAATATTAATTATTAAACGTTTCTCTTTTATAGTACTAAGCTTAATAATATATTTATAAAGAGATAAAGAATTAGTATAAACTATAATAAGAAGCCTTAGGAGGCTTAGCTTATTAGTTACTATATTAAGTATAGTTACTAGAGATATTAATATATTAATCTTTACTACTATAGTATATAATTCTAAAGTAAGTACTACTTAAGTAACTCTCTTATACTTTATAGAACTTATATATATTAGGTTACTAGATAAAGAGAACTCTTAAAACCCGTTTAATTTAGTTCTAATAGTTAATATAAAACTAATCTAGAAGCTAAGGTCTTTAT